TTAATTATAATGCAATGCACCAGGTTGAAAGCTCTAGTTTTCAGTGCAAATATCAGCCACCAACAAGAAGGCTCATGCATTCAAAATAGTTTTCTGGGTGCAAACCTGGTGGTGACTTTACGGTGACTCTGTAAACTGCTTAGAGGCAAGACTACTGTAGTTAATCAGTATATAAGGTCCTTAAGGTCCATATATAGCAACACCCTAGAGATCCAGGGCCCTAAAGAAGTTAGATTAGCCTCAACCAGAGCCAGGGCCTTCTCAACACTGGCTCCGGCCTGGTGGAACGCTCTGTCTCATGAGACCAGGGCCTTGCAGGATCTGATTTCTTTCCGCAGGGCCTGTAAGACAGAGTTGTTCCACCTGGCCTTTGGCTTAGAATCAGTTTGATTCCCTCCCCCTCTTTATTTTTCCTTTCTCCTCCTGTGAAGAGGCTGAATCCTAATGTTTTAATGTTTTTATTATTGGTTGTTAGCCACCCTGAGCCCGGTCTTGGCTGGGGAGAGCGGGGTATAAATAAAAAATTATTATTATTATTATTATTATTATTATTATTATTAATGGTTTAAATCAATAAACACAAGTATCAGTGTTGGATGGGAGGAAAACACCCACACACCTTCTATTTGTCTTTGTGTAGCAATATTTTTGCACTTCTACAGATCTAGAAGCAAAACCCTTTGAGATATGGAGGCATGCGGATTTCTGTACTGTACCAGACAGATTTATGTAGTTGAACATACTAATGTCCTTTGACCTGCTTAAAAATAAACATGACCTACCAAATTGTCCTTTTTACGAGTATTTATGGCAGGGGCACTTTGTAAACTTAAGAACTAATTTCCCCCAAAGGAAATCTGCACTCTCAAACCTTGATAAACTGTTGAAAATGCAAAGTGCTACAAAATGTCATAGTTTCTCTCTCCAGCAGCACCAATCTCTAGCAACATACAAATCTTTTACAGGCTGCATTATCTTTACAGTCAGGTCTTACTAGAAATAGTTATCTGTTGCTTCCAATTAAAAGAAGTAACCAGCGTTATACTGGCAAAAAAACTGCATTCTGCATCTGCAAATCCTAAGTGGCAATACGCAAACTACAGGACAAATGAAGGCTGCCCCTTCTGTCATTTTATCGTAGCTCAGAAACCTGCAGTCCTGAAACTTTCATCTCTTAGGTTTCTAGTCCTCATGACGAACGTGGCAATAAGGTTAAGAAACCGAGGACAGTATGCTTGAAAAGGCCAAGATAACGAAGCAGTAAATATCAAGAACCCCAGTACTGTTGTCTTAGTCCAGGAGAGCAGGGGTCATGTTGAATACAAGGATCTAGCCTCTGCCTAATGCAAAGGGTGACATCACCACCATAATCCCTTACCTGAGTCCCCCAGATTCAAGTGAGCTGTGTCGTTAGAGATCCTGAACAGCTCAATAGAAAAGCAATTTCAGAATGTAAGGACTAAAATAGAATAATGCAATTATAGTGGGAGCATAAGTAAATTCTGATACATGGAATTGTCCAATTGTGGACCATTAATGATTGAAACAAGAAGATTCCTCATTTCTACTACAGTGGTACCTCGGGTTAAGTACTTAATTCATTCCGGAGGTCCGTTCTTAACCTGAAACTGTTCTTAACCTGCAGCACCACTTTAGCTAATGGGGCCTCCTGTTGCCACCGCGCTGCCGGTGCACAATTTCTGTTCTCATCCTGAAGCAAAGTTCTTAACCCGAGGTACTATTTCTGGGTTAGCGGTGTCTGTAACCTGAAGCGTCTGTAACCCGAGGTACCAGTGTACTGCTTTGCCTTCAGGTGCAGATATGCCTAAGGCTGTATAGGAAGGAAGGAAGGAAAGAAGGAAGGAAGGAAGGAAGGAAGGAAGGAAGGAAGGAAGGAAGGAATCTAAATAAATAAATAAATAAAAATTGTCCAGTAGCACCTTAGAGACCAAATAAGTTTGTTCTGGGTACTGTATAAGCTTTCGTGTGCATGCACACTTCTTCAGATACACTGTAAAGGAATACAGAGTTACTTGGGCACAAATTCCATTAAGCTCAACAGAGTTGACACATAAAAGATTGGGCTGTAAAGTCTGCATTGCAAAGCAGAGGGAGAACTTTAAAGATCCTGCTGCAACAGGTTTCCACTCATAAGTAATGACAGGGATGACGATGACAACAACAAACAACAACTAACTTCCAACAAAAAATAGTAAAAACACAATACAACATCAAACACTAAAGACTTCTCTGAACACGGACTATCCTGCTACCATTTTCAGAGACTGGACAATGAAATGTAGTCTTAAGTCTAGCTATGGAAGCCCCACCATGGATAAAAAAGAACAACATTTCATACACTGGCTACAATCAGTTCAGAATAAGGAATCTGGGGGTCCCTTTAACCACACGTTCAGGACTGGGGACTCCTCAGTTAGCAAAACCTGTGGTTCTGACCCTTTTCTGTGGAGTGTTAAGTCTAACCCCTCCTTTACTTGGTCCTTTCTCTTTACAGTCTAAGCCCATATTGCTCTTGATAGAAACTGCAGTAACTTTGGAAGCCTGAAATGTGTGCATAAGGACAGATCCTACCAGACAAGAGGCAGCTATCTGACATTTTTAAAAGGGCAAATCGAAAGCAATCAACACCCAACAAAATGCTGTTGCGTAGACTGGAGTGATAGCTTAGGATACTATAACGAACCTGGCAAGTGCTGTAGTGTTTTAATGTAAATTAACGCAAGATAATCTCTTTGCATATTTAAGCGATGCACTTCAAATTAATTAATACATATTTAAGAGATGTCTCCTTGAACAGCTGTTATTTACTTCCAGAGTTTCCTCCACATTAACATGGCTTGCTTTGTTCTCCTCCAAAGTTATTCATGCTTCTTATGGTTACTTTGAGAACCCGCATGGTGTAAAATTGAGCATTCCTTTCTCCCAAAGAGATGAGCTGCTCTGATAACTTAATATTTTAACATTAAACATTCAAGCAATTTTCCAAAACAGAAAGGTCAAATCCTACTTACAGCATCTGCTTGCAACAGACAAGCAGATGCTTAACGCTACTACACAAATACTTGCAGCGGTGAACATGATAAAGGGGAGGCAATCAATCTTCCCCTGTGGATTTTAAAATCAGATTTACTTTGATGCTAGCCCACTAAATCCCAGAGTTAGTTCCTTTTTTTTGGTGCCTCATAATTTAAGGCCAAATTATGGGCTTTTCTGCAGCTTCTAAAGTGCTTGGACTTGGTACGTGGAGCTGCAGTAATTAAACAGAGACGCCATGAAGCTTTTGATGCATGTTCTAAATACTGTGCACATTCAGGAAATGGATGTTTCCCCCCCAGGTGCATTGCATTCTTCCTCTTTTGCAGTTCACTGGGACATAGTTGCAGCATGCGAATGCTTGTTTTTCTACAGATCTGTGTAAAAAACCATACTCTTAAATTTGCATATTTCTTTATTCATCCAGTCATTCATTCATTTATAGACCACCTTTCTGCCAAGGTGATTTTCTTATTTTAAAGGACTAAAACAAACGATGTTGAAGAAAATAATAATTTCATAAAACTGTGTCATTTTGATAGTTCCATTTAAAAAATAAATAAAAAATTGGAGCCTATGGCCTAGCTAAACTGAAAAGCCCTGTGCCTAAACTTTCATAGTACAGAACTGTATGTAGTGAATGTTCACTCCAAAACCCTGAAATCTATGGTGGCCATTGTACGCATGAAAAGAGAATCGGCTAGGCATGGCAATTGTGATTAATCTTGAACTGTTTCGCAGGTAGGTGAAATAGGATATTGGGAGACATTTAATGAATAGGAAAATTAGTCAAAGTCTTAAGAAAGAAAGACACTGATAAATGGTTATATGGAATCACATGATGTTATGATGAAGGCTGATCTGGAGAGCTAAATGGTTTTCACTGGTTCAGGATGGTGACATAGGGGACTCATCTTTGTTGTTGTTTCGTCGTCTTAGTTGTGTTCTACTCTCCATGACCCAATGAACCAGAGCATGCCTTGGAAACTCTTTCTTCTCAAAGCTTCTCCTTTTTTATGTCCGTGGAGTTTTCTTGGCAAAATACTGGAGTAGATTGCTAGTTCCTTCTCCAGGTGGATCACATTTAGTCTAAACTCTCAGCTATGACCTGTCCGTCTTGGGTGGCGCTGCATGGCAGGGAGTTATTCAAGCCCCTTTGCCACGACAAGGCAAGGGAGGGGACTCATCTACACAGCTGCAAATAAACATTTTATAAAGAGCAATATACAAACGTGACACTAGATGGTAACCGTGAGCTATGCAAAATTCAATGTATTTTTCAAAACATTTTTTAAAAAAGCTTTCTCACACCATTTTTAAAAATGTGTGTGTAGATTCCACCTGCATGTGTGTGTAGATTGCAACTGCAAAGGCTGATGCGATCCTCTGATGGCTGAATAGAAGTCATGTGCATAATCTGGAAGAATATAAGAAATATTGCTTTGGATGTGGTTCTTTGCTACTCCCCCCCCCCCCAATGTTGTCCCTATGAGCATTTGTATTTCCTCAGGCAGTGGAAGCCCTCAAGGCAGTGCTCCACCGGCGGAGAAGCGGTGCCGGCTTTGGCGCTGATTTATGGCGAGATCTTGCTGAAATCTCATGAGATCTCATGGAGTGCAAGACCTCACAAGAGCTCTCACCATAAATTGGTGCTGGTGCTGCTTGTCTGCCAATGATGGAGGTGGCAGGCAGCGCAGTGGCAGGCGGCATGGCAAAGCCAAGTGGCAATTTCCGTTTCCCCTTAAGTGGCAAAACGGGCCACATACCTTCAGACTTGTGCCCTGGGATTCCAAGGAGTTTGTGCTTCAGACAATGAAATGCCCATTGAGATCAAAGCAGCATATAAATTCAATACATTAATACATAAGCAAAACAAGTGAATAAGTAAATCTGTGTCAGATTGATCCTGTGCCGGGATAAGTGACCACTGTCACTTATCACAGAGCCTCAAGGAACATACCAGATTGTAGAATGGCCCATCTTGAAAACACTCTGAAAGACTGAGCTTAGACATGCATGCATTTATTACAAAAGGCCTGCCATAACTCGTGTTGAGCTGTGCATGTGAAACAGCAACTATACAAGGAGGGAAAATATATATGAGACAACATCTCAAGCACACTTTTCACCAAAGACAGTTTACAAATGATTATTTAGCATCTAATTTATTTATTTATTAATTAAAGTATATACTGCCTATATGCCATCCAAGCAGTTTACAAGTATAAACTCAATTATAAAATCCGTAAGCTATTAAAATTCACAATAAACCAATTCAATCAAGGCAACAAAAGCTTCCATGGTTTAAAAAGGCAAGAAAACAAGCCAGTTAAAATTTCTAATAATTAGAACAGTTAAAAACCACATAATTAGATCTCAAGTTCAGGGGAATACCTGCCTAAACAGGTGTGCTCTTCAAGAGCCGGCAGAATGCCAATAATGATGGGGCCTCTTCGCATTTCAACAGGGAGGTCATTCTACAAGACTGGTGCCATCGGTGATAAAGCCCACCTCAGTGCTGCACATTCAGCAGAGAGTCATCAAGCGATGAGCAATTTAGCTGTACTTCGTATGTTGCAGCTGCAGTATGGGCACAACACTGGGACCCTGGCACAGTTGGCAGTAATTACTGCAAATAACCAGCAATGGTTAAGATGCTGGGCTTCCACACGAGCAGTTTTGTCTGGACACAGCTCCAACAGCACCAGCAATGATTACACTTTGAATTAGATGAGTATAAAGGAGCGAATCGAGTAATCTTATTCCCCCCCCCCCCCTTGTTAACGTGCATCACTGCAGTAACACATTATAGCTTCACCTTCCCAGTAATGAATGAATGTGACTTCTAGCAAGTCAGTATTTGTAAAAAGAAACAAACACACACACACACACACACACACACACACACACAACCCACCTCACAACTATCACCACTCCTAAACAGTCATTATCGGTGTCTCTTAATGCAGTTTCTAAATGGCTTCCTAGAATTGTGTTTATAACACTTGAAAAACATTATGCTGTTTTATTAGCTAATGTCTTGGGTTCTAATGGCAGGGAAATCTAAAAGTGTGCCTTTGAAGCTAGTGTTGATTTCATTAGGGGGAAAATGTAGCATGACAAAGGAAACATTTGGACTGCTTTGGGGCAGCAGGGGTGGGATGGGGAGAGACTTCAGACTTAGAACTTCTTCCTGGTCTTACAGCAAAGGTGGCTAACTTGTGGCCCTCAAGATATTGTTAAGACTCTCCCTCTCCCACCAGCCCTAAGCCAGCACAGTCAGTGGTCAGGAATGATGGGATTTGGAGTCCAACACAGGATCCCCTTTAACCGGTGCTTCAAGAAATTCCGTAACAGACTTGTAAGTTTTCTGTAAAATATGTTCTATAAAACTTTAAGTCTCCCATGGTATTCTTGCAGAGAAGCTGGTAAAATGTGGGTTGGATGAGGTAATTGTTAGGTGGATTTGTAGCTGGTTGACTGACCAAACCCAAAGAGTGCTTACTACTGGTTCCTCATCACCATGGGAAAAAGTGGCAAGTGGGGTGCTGCAGGGTTCTGTCCTGGGCCCATTGTTGTTTAACGTCTTTATAAATGACTTTGATGAAGCAATTGAGGGGTTTTCCATCAAATTTGCAGATGACACCAAACTGGGAGGGGTAGCTAATGGTGCAGAAGACAGAATCAGGATTCAAGAGCACCTTAACAGATTAAAGAACTGGCCCCAAATTAACAAAATGAATTTCAATAGGGACAAATGTAGAGTTCTACGCTCAGGCAGGAATAACCAGCTGCACAAATATAAGATGGAGGACACCCGGCTTGCCAGTAGTATATGTGAAAAGCATACAGGGGGACTTAGTAGAACAGAAACTCAACATGAGTTAACAGTGTGATACAGCAACAAAAATAGCTAATGCTATTCTAGGCTGCATTAACAGAATTATAGTGTCCAGATCAAGGGAAGTAATAGTCCCACTCTATTGTGCTATGGTCAGATCACACCTGGAGTGCTGTGTCCTGTTTTGGCCACAATTTAAGAAACATATTGACAAGCTGGAAGCTGCGTAGAGGAGAGTCACCACGATGATCAAGGGTCTGCCAACCAAGCCTTATGAGGACCAGTTGAGGGAGTTGGGTATGTTTAACCTGGATAAGAGGTGACAGAGGAAATATGACAAGCATCTTCAAATATCTAAAGGGCTGTCACATGGAAGATGGAGCAAGCTTGTTTTTTCCTGCTCCAGAGGGTAGGACCCAAACCAAAGACTTCAAGTTACAAGATAAAGTGCTGGGACTAAAGGATACAGTGGCATAAGGGCTGTGTATGATTACCGTAGGATCCAACAATGTCACACTCTCAGTGCAGCAGTGTAATCCATGAACCGCTTCACACGATCTGGGTCAATGTTATTTGCCCAATAGCTTGCTTTCTTGAAATATGAACCAACGATCAAGGCATTTGCACCCAAGTAGTTCTTCAAGTTTTCCAGAGTCACTCCAGATCCAACCAGCACTGGTATCTTCACAGCACATCCAACTTCTGGAGAAAATTAAGAAGGGAAATTGATTTAAAAATCCTTATAAATGAAGGCAAGTTGTGGCAATGGCCACATACGGTGGCCAGCTTCACATACTTCTAAGGTTTAAGAGACATAGGTGCAGTTCAAATGTATTTATCATACATCTTCTTAAGAAATACATGAGGCTTTTGCCCACATGCTACATCCTGCTGCCATTCCATCCTTCCTTGGACCTTTGGAGCAATCAATCACAATTGCCTATGACTTCCAAACCACTAAACTGTGGTTCCTGGGACAAACAAAAGCAAAAACCAAACAGAACCTTAAACCAACTTCACTCCGTGGTTTAAGGTTCTGACTTGTTGGTTTCCTGACCACTATGTTGTGATTAACCCAGAAAATCTTCATATGGCCATGGTTTCCTGTAACGTCCAAATTGGGGAATGGGAAGCACAAGGGTTTGTGGCAGGCACAGTTTATTAAGCGGAATATGTACATTCAAACCAGGAAATAGAAGTGCGTTCTAAGGAAAGTCCTTCTCTATTATGAACTCAGAACACAATGAATAAAGCACTAGGGGGAGCTTTTGAATGAACAACACCTATCCACCATCCATGACTCAGTGTCCTCACTTCAGCTGCTCTGATAGCAAACAACATTTGGTTTCTCTAGGCATAAATACCAGGAGGCGCTAGGGCTTTTGACCTTGCTTCATCAACAGCAAAAACTTTGCTGAAGTTGGTCTCAAGTAGCCCAGTGCTAGAGAAAGGGATCCAGTCCAAGGGCCAGACCCAGAAGTGGCCAACCCTCCATAGGCTCCATTGACTGGATGGCAAGGCTGTCCACCTGCCATGTCAAGGGATGCAAAGCTCAAGCTTCTTCCTCGGCATACTCTGATTGAGTTCAAGCTATGGCTGCAAAGAAAGAATCTGGACTACACTCTAAAGTGTGCTCCAATTTATTCCTTTGCAGCCAAGTGGTTGTTTTTTTCAGGCACCTTTTTCTGTTGCCACGCAGGACGGCAGAGAAATGTGCCAAATAAAAACAAAAACATCAGATTGGGAGCATACATACGAGTCTTTCTATGCAGCCTCAGGGTGAACTTGCCAGCACCCAATGTTACATGATGTCAAGCATGTGAAAGATGGCTGTAGTTCACTCAAAACAGCCAGGGAGACCAACCTACAAGGCCTGGCGGACCTAATTAAGCCCATGGGTTGAAGATTACTCCTCACTCCTATGAGCAGTCTTTAGCAGAGCTAAGAGTCCCTCTGCAATCTGCCTCTTGCTCAGGCATAGCAAACTTGGCCTTCCAGATGTTTTGAGACTACAATTCCCATCATCTCTGACCACTGGTCCTGTTAGCTAGGGATGATGGGAGTTGTAGTCCCAAAACATCTGGAGGGCTGAGTTTACCTATGCCTGCTCTTGCTGGTCTGCTCCATTACTTCCGCCTTTCTCTATTCCTGGGCTAACTTGTTAAATGTTAACATTCCTCTTTATATCAAGATGTATTCAGTAACCACTGCACCATACGAAATGCTGTCATTAAACTGCCGTGTAGCACACTGTCTTTTTTTTTTTTTAATTGCTCCATTAATTCGAAAGAGCCGGCAAACACAGCAACAAGGCATACAACTCCCACTTCCTATGACCAACATCAAAAAAAGAGAAGCATAGCAATGCTGGAAGCAAATGTGATATAATCTCACTCTCCTCCCTTTTCAGTTCAGCTTTCAAAGAGACAAGTGATCAGATCAAAACACAAATTGGCTTAAGCTGTCAATGGGTTTATTTTGTAATATGATGAAAGGAATCCAATTGTGTCTACACTTAAGCAGCAGCAGGGTTCCAGTGGCAGAGACAGGCTCAATTTGCTGTCATAGATCTCCATTAGAAGATAGACAAGCACTCTCTCCCTCTATCTGTCTGTCTGTCTGTCTGTCTGTCTGTCTCTCTCTCTCTCACACACAAACACAAAGCTTGTTTGCTTCGTTTTCACCATTCAGAATTGCTGCACTAGAATGAGCTATGCTAGCTACCTGTGAGGCCACAAGTGCCACTGAGTAAACACTCAGGAGCAATTACAGCAAAGAATCCACACCCCGTGTAGGTGTGTCGCAGAAACCTTTGATGTATTGTTTTCTTGGAATCACAGAATTGTAGAGTTGGAAGGTACCCCAAGGGTCATCTAGTCCAACCCCCTGCAACACATGAATCCTGTCCACAGCTGTTCTTGGGTGGGCTCGAAATACCAGCCTTCAGGCTAACAGCCAGACACATTGATCCATTGTGCCACCTGGGTCATCCCTTCCATTAACCCCCCTCAAAAGGGAAGTAAAAAACTGTCGGCATTGATTATATTCTGTGCTTGAAACATCTGAACTCTACACCAAGGAAATAGCAATAACAGCAACAATCTCCCATTTGAAGAAATCGTGCCTGTTAGACATATTACAGATGACATTCCTTGAATACCACCCTGCAGAATTTCACAGCATTTCTAACACTTTAGATGGTAAAAGGCAACTAGGTTAAGAAAGTAGACAGTAAGTTGGCCAAGACTACATTTCTGTAGCTACTGCAAGTCCAAAAAAACTTTGGTTTTGGAGACATCAGGCTATTTTGCACCACTTTTAACAGTCATGGCTTCCACCAAAGGGTCCTGGTGACTGTAGCTTGTAAAGCAGGCATCCCCAAACTCAGCCCTCCAGATGTTTTGGGACTACAACTCCCATCATCCCTGACCACTGGTCCTGTTAGCTAGGGATGATGGGAGTTGTAGTCCCAAAACATTTGAAGGGCCGAGTTTGGGGGTGCCTGTTGTAAAGGGTGCTGACCACACAAAGCTTCAGTCCCCAGGATTCTCTGTGGTGGTTAAAGTGGCATAAGAGTTACTTAAATGTATGGTGTAGATATAAACTTATTAAAGCGGAAAGTGGCTTAAACTGAAGCTGAGAAGATTTGAGCTATATAGAAGGAAGAATGTGGCAGAGCACTGGAGCACTAGAACGTATTGCCTAAAGTTGTGGCAGTATGACTCTGAACACCAGCTGCTGGGAAGCAACCGCAGGTGAGCACAACGCTATCATCCTCATGCGCAGCTTGCAGGCTTCTCAATAGGGCATCTGGTTGGCCACTGTGAGAACAGGATGCTGGACCAGATGGGCCATTAGCCTGATCCAGAAGGCTCTTCTGATGTTGTTGTTTTTAAATCAGTGGGAGTCTTGAAGAACAGATTGGATAAATGGCTGGATTAGTTAGGTTGGATCTTGCCCTTGGTGGCAGAGTTGGCTAGACAGCCTTCTTAAAGGAACAAGTGCCCATTTCAGAAGACCGGAGACCTTTGACAAATAATGATATATATAGGACTCTTCCTTATTTCAAGAGGTTGTCATTGCTGACTCGTGAATCAATGAACTAATCGGAGATCAAAACAGACTATTTTGCCTATTTGAAGTAAGGACATCAGGGATAGCATCTTTGCCCCCAAACCTATCAGGTACTTAATTGCTCCAGCTACTTTCTCCTAGGACATACATCAAGCATTTGGAACCAGCTAGCAAAATCAAACTCCCACTGGTGTCCAGTCACTATTATTTATACTCCACTTTGTCAGATGTTGTTCTTCCTGCTGGAATGTCAGACCCAAGTGCAATCTCCTATTTCTTGCCATGTTAAGAGTTGTGTTTTTAATTTACCTTCATTAGAAATAACCTTTTAAGAAAGGTTATGAAGAATGTCATCATTCATGAGCAACAGCTATCAAAAAGCAAGACTTTCCGTCTTTTCTTTTTTTTAATTAAGAGAAATGAGAAATATGTATGTACATATCCACTTTCCTGGCTAGCTGCTTAATATGACAGCTACTTATACCTGACAGGAACTGAAACATTTGCCACAAGTGGTTAGAGAAAGGATACTACTGGTAACATATACCCTTTACATTGGAGAAAATGATGTCCAATTGCATTATACTGTGTAAGAGCTAAAACAATGGACACATGTCATGATTGAAACAAACAAATCTGCACGCACTGATTTAAAAAAATAACAATACAATGTATGTAAGCAAGCAATATCTCAATAGAATTTTGAGTCATGTTTGGTTTTCCAGGGTTCATCCAAGTTCATAATCGAGCAAAGGGAACACTATCTCTCTAGCAATAGTGAATCTGTATACTTCATGTGCCTTTGCAGGCTTCTTGGCGGCTGATCCCAGATTTTGGGACTCCCATTCCGGAGAAGCTAGACTGGGCTCCCTTCATCTCATTCTTCCACTGGCAGCTAAAGATTGTTTTATTCCAACAGGCCTTTCGAAACTAACTTTTCTTCCTCTTCTTCCAGGAAAGGGCTTTTAATAGCACTGTGATGCTTTTATTCTTTTCATTATCTATATTTTAATAATTTGTTTTTACAATGTTTTAATTCCATTGTAGTTTAATTACTTTTTAATGATGCTCTTTTGTGTGCTTTTTCAGCTTTTTGCATTTTGAATGCTCTATTTTATCTGTAAGCTGCCTTGAGTCTGGGGGAAAGTAAGGACATAAGTAAATACAAGAAATATAATCGTCATAATCATACCACCTTCCAGTTCTTTGGGATCTGCCTCCAATCCAGTGGCAGCTCCAGTCAATATGACCCCGTCAGCCAGAAAGAATTCAGCAGCCTTAGCCGTCTCTGCTACACTGACATCAGCTGTCAGAGCGTGAGAACTGCCAACAACAGAAACCCAACCTGTTTACTTTTGGCAGCCATACCAAGTTATTGAAGCTCCCCACCACCACCACCACCTCTACCACCATGAAGTGGAGGGCCAGCTTTCCAGCACCATCATAATGTAATAAATCAAGGAAGTGAGCATATCACTCACAAATGACATTCTACACTCACATCAGTGTAGCTGGTGTTCAGACATTCAATCTCTCCAGTTGTAATTATATAGCAAATATTTTTAGTCCACACATTCCCAGATTATATCCCAGAATGCTTAAGGACTTAAGAAGAGCCTGCTGGATCAAGCATTAATTTTTAATGCAAGTTGCCTTAGGGTCCGTCTGTGAGAAATACAATCATTCAACAAGTAACAAATGCAATTACTATTGTTAATCATAATAGTGGCCCATAATAGTGGCAAGCACAACCTGAGCACTATGCATTCCTCCAAGTGGTAAAATCCCCCAAATTCTCACTACATTAAAAGGCTAAGTTGGGAGTGAGAATATATGTAGCTGCAATAACAGAGCCAATGGTCTACTGGTGGAAGACTCAGTTGTAAAACTTGGGGCTTCTGTCACTTGTAAGTGGTAACCATACAAATTTAATGCAGGCAAAAGCCGACTCACTGACAGCACATGTTTGGCAAGTATAGGTTTCTAACACATTTTGGCGTGAACCCTAATTACCTGTGTTTCTTTTTCACGTCAGCAAAAACCTGAATGTGTTCTGCTCCAATTTGCTTCCGGTATCTGAGCAAGTTGCCAGCACAGGCATTCAGAATCCCTTCATCGGCCACGTGAGAAAAAACAAAGCCTTCCGCTCGAATGAAGTCAAGACCTGCAAATGACAAGAATACTGTGATAAAGCTGACTGAGGGCCAGGCAGGAACTGTAAATCACGGTCACTTACCAGATGTATCCCAGCACGAAATGGGATACATTACGAAAGGTCAGTGGTCCATTAGCACACAGAGTGTGTACACAGGAGATCCAAAATTAAATCACCGCTCGGCTGTGATGTTTGCTAGGTGACTGTTTGCAAGTCGCTGTGTCTTGGAACATTGATGCCCTGATTTGATCCCCCATTACAATTCATTGATTCGTAAGTCATCAAGTACAGTACCTTGGAAAAAGCAAGAACCTTAATCAAAAGTCTCTTCATCAAGGGGCTGTGCATTTTGGGTCTTCTGGGATGGACCCCAGTTCCTTTAAGAGCAGGGTGCTCAACATCAGGTCTAGGGCTAAAATGCAGCCTTCCAGGACCCCTTTTTTGGCTCTCAGAACTCTCTCCAGTCCACACCCCTCGGTAGTCCTTCTTTGTGTGGCAGGAATGTGTCACTGAGTTCTGATCATGCCCCCTTTCTTGCCTGAATGGAGGGCAGAGAGGGGTGTAAAGGGAAAAATTTAAATCTCTTGCTCTACCAACTTTTGCCTTTGGCCCTACCAAATATGCAACACTAGTATGTGGTCCCTGAAAGGTGATCTAGAAGGAAATGTGGCCCTTGGGCTGGAAAGGGCTTCCCACTCTTGCCTTATGGGGCCACCTAGTCAATTCTGCCTCCCAGAACAAGATGCGATTAAATTAATCCAACCATTTAGCCGATGCACTCCTCTAACAGTGTGTACTAAGGATAATATGGGTGCTAGTTCTGCAGCTCTGTTTCTGCCTCTAGAAAAGACAATTCCACCACCAGTCACTATGATGCCAGGTTCTCCCTTAAAGTCATGAATTTTGCCCTGAAATCTAAGGAACTATTTTATACAATAATCAAAACTATTGGTTCCTATGCCCAGTATCATCCAATCCGATTGGCGGTGCCCCTCCAAGGTTTCAGACAAATTACTTTTCCCAGTCTTGTTACCAGATCTTTAACTGAACATAAAATCTGGCACTTTCTATACACACACACACACAAACACACACACACACACACACACACACACACACTGCTTTACCTGTCCAGAGTAAAGCAATAATGTTTGCAATAAGTTACAAGAACCAGAAGGGGTCGATGAAGGCAACTTGTTCCCTTACTGGTTTCCTTCTTGAGTAAAAACTTGCTACTTCCTTCCTGCTTCTTCTTCAGCGTTACGACGTTTTGTTGTTGTCATTAACCTCATGACTCTGTGATGGCCACATGTAAGCTTGTAAATGAAAATGGCTTTGCTTGCCTTAAAGGTAAAGGTACCCCTGACCATTAGGTCCAGTCGTGGCCGACTCTGGGGTCGCAGCGCTCATCTCGCTTTATTGGCCGAGGGAGCCGGTGTACAGCTTCCGAGTCATGTGGCCAGCATGACTAAGCCGCTTCTGGCGAACCAGAGCAGCGCACGGAAATGCCGTTTACCTTCCTGCCGGAGCGGTACCTATTTATCTACTTGCATGTTGACGTGCTTTCGAACTGCTTGCTTGCCTTAGGCTTCCTTAATTCTTTCAGCCCATATATATTTCTGCACTCCACTGCAATATATAGACAGAACTCCTATAATACCACTAAAGAAATAGAAATACTGGCTTACGGGGATCAAATCCGTGATTTTGGGGGGTATTATTAGCACCACGCTCCAGTCAGGTGTGCAGAATTGTAGCAGGGAAGCTAGGAGGGCACAGAAAGCAAAGGACGAGGGTTTAACTTTCATGTAATGAATGCTAATTATTACATCAGATACTACAGAATACAATGAGGTCTCAGGTGGGGTCAATCTAACCCAGACTTGTGGACTGAGTGTTCCCAAATGTTATCAAGAGGATGGGAAAATGATAGCTGCAGTGTAGGCAGTGCCTGTATCTTTATCGCCGCCATAAATGTTCCAGAGACCCAATAATATGCATCATTCTGTGCAGCCTCAAACAGATGTAGTTAATTAAATCAGGATCTACGCACATGAAATTAGGCACTACTGAAGAACACATGGTACACCTGTTAATAATGAAGCAGTTGTGAACAAAGCTTGGTGAGCCGTTTCAGACATGGGAGAACTCTTGCCATTCCCCCTCAGAAAGAAGGAATAATCAAGATGGCATGCAGCTTTTGCCAAGACAATGACATAAATTGCTTTTTGATGTTAAAAAAAAGAAAGATGTTCTGCCGTAAAGCAATGCCTCAAATAAAAAAACCCCAGACAATAATGCTGAACTCTTTAGCAGAGATGTAAGGTTAACTTTGTAGAGTCAGTAGGTGAGGATAAGTAAGAGTCGGGGCCTTTTCTGTGCCAGCCCCCAAACTGTGGAACTCACTCCCCCTAGGGGTGCATTTGGCCCACCACTGCAAACCTGAGGCCATTAAAACTAAAAAACCCCATATATTTGGGGCTTTTGTTCTTGGAGATCTATATGATGATAGATAGCTTCATGATAGCAGGATTTTTATATTGTTTTATTTAATTGGCCTTTTAAAAAATGATTGCTAATGCTGCTGTTGTTTTGTTTTGTTTTGTTTTGTTTTGTTGTGTGTGTGTGTGTGTGTGTGTGTGTGTGTGTGTGTTGTGTTTCTACACTATGAAAACTGCCTTGAGTGGCCTAAGTCCCAAAAGGCAGCCTTTAAGTAACTGTATAAATGAATAAAATAAACATTGATCCCTCAAAGTGGATGCTGGCTCTTAGATGTTAATTTTGTGTTAAGTATCCATTCTTATTTCTTCACAGCATCCTTACACCCTTATTTTTCTTCCATCAACCTCCTTCAGATCAGCTTTTGCACAGATTTTATTTTATTTTTTTAGGAGCAGGGGTACAATGTATTTGTATGTCTAGGGTCACCATCAACAGCCCTAGAAGAATCCAATAGTTGAGAAACAGAATGTGTGTGTAATCTAGAAACACTCTGTATTGCTTTTAAATGTTCATGGTGTTTTTACATAGCTCTGACCTTTTAAGAGGGCTGCATATGAATAATTTTAAAAATAAAAAAATAAAAACACATGAAGACTAGATGCAACTATGGAAAGGCACTGGGAGTCTGTTTCGCACCAAACAAAAGCACCAAACTACACTAGTGGTTTTACATTGAACCTTCAGTACAGCAATGAAGATGGGCTTTGCTCTCCACTTAAAACAGCCTTTAAACTGGCAGTTTTGCATATAGGAACAAATTACAGTTCAGTAAAGATCTACTTACAAAAAAAACCTGTTGTCTTAAAAAATATAAAAGCCTTGGGCAAAGATGACTGAAGTACCATTTGAGATGCCACCCTGAGAAGTAAAGGACCTCTGGATGGTTAATTCCAGTCAAAGGCGACTATGGGGTTGCAGTGCTCATCTCGCTTTCAGGCCGAGGGAGCCGGCGTTTGTCCACAGACTGCTTTCCAGGTCATGTGGCCAGCATGACTAAACCACTTCTGGTGCAACGGGACACCATGACAGAAACCAGAGTGCACAGAAACGCCGTTTAGCTTCCCGTTTAGCAGCGGTACCTGTTTATCTACTTGCATTGGCATGCTTTCGAACTGCTAAGTTGGCAGGAGCTGGGACAGAGCAATGGGAGCTCACCCCGTTGTGGGGATTCGAACTGCCAACCTTCCGATTGGCAAATCCAAGAGGCTCAGTGGTTTAGAATAAACAAAGTGTTTATTCACTGCATTTCAGTCTAAAGGCAGAAGGAGAAACATATGAAGCTGCTTACACTGAGTCTGACCACTGGCTCGTTAGAATTGTCAAAACTGACTGGCAGTGGCTCTCCAGGACTTCTCCTTCCCAAGCCCTGTTTGGAGGTGCTGGAAATAGAACCCAGGACCTCCTACATGCAAAGCACTGAGCTGTGGCTCTTCCTGCCAACCCACAGGGGATATGCCACCACAGGTGACACCACAGTGGGTACGTCTCCTGTGGGTTGGCAGGAAAGGCCGTAACTCACAGATGTGCGTTATCCCACTATTTGGGTAAATAATCCAAACCAGCGTTACTGACTGATTTCTGTATATTTGTCATGGCCTCAGCCCCTGCTTAGGTCTGCTTGCAAATGTAGCGTTGGGCTCCTGCGGAGAAGCCAGCCTTCAGAATGCACACTCCTCTCAACTTCAACACAAATTCCACTCTTTCTTCCTTGTCATCTTTAACCATGGTTTCGTGTTACATCCACAACCGATGCTAGGCAGTCAACACGAACCAGCTGACTTGTAAGCCTTAGTTGCTTACAAACCCTGGTTAAGAAGGGTGCCTTTTAAAGTATTATCCATGGCTAACATCAATGCAGATATAATGAAAATAAGGAAAGGGGATAAGTCTTTTTGCCAGAATCGAAGTGTATGGCCCCCAAGCTGGCCCCTGATTAGCAAACCATGGCTTTCATGGAACAGCATTTGCACTGGGCCTTAGTGACTGTGCTAAATTGAGTTTGTGGTAAGCTGTGTGAAGAGAACTGATAATTATGTTTGTCAGCTTATGCATGCCTAACAGCTGCCAGAGCCTATCCACGCTTACTCAGAGGTAAGTCCCTTGGGTTCAGTTGTATTTACTTCTAGCTAAATATGCATAGAGTCAGGATCCAAGGGTGATGTGAATTGCTAGAAATCTGTATATAATTCTAAGTTCTAGGAAACTGTTCTGAATGAAGTTGAAAAGATAATTCAGCGGCCAATTTAATTCAATATAAATGAAGCTTAGAGTGTTGTGCCTAAGCAGAAAAGGGGCAAAATTGTTCTAAGTAGCCTTTTCTAAAATCATAGGAAGAATGTGAAAGAGAGAGGAGAAGAAATAGTTAAAATTATTGAGTGCACCTGAATATGAAGACATATCTGCTGTCTAATCAATTCTGCATATTGACTGAAGATCCTAGTAGTTTAAGTAAACTAAAGCATTCATCTGCAACAGTGAAGTAGAAAAAAATGGCATTATCATTTTTTTGAAAATAAAATGCAATATGTAAAAGTAGTGCCAATCTAGGAAACAGATGTTAGATATAATAGACTATTCATCTGTCACAGTTTGCATCAAGATACATTAAAGGGATTGTGTAAAAGTAATGTATGTTTTTAGCATTAATCACCTATCATTCTTGAATCAGACGTATCATAAATGAAATGCTAAAACTTTTATATGAGCATTCCAGCAGGCAAAAACAAGGCTGCATTAGAGCAATTTGTATTATTAATGCTCATGCCATAAACAAAATTGACTTTTTGCTTAAATATAATTTCTGTGCTTTTGTCTGAAACTTACCCATAAACCAAGTTACAGTATGCCCACAATGATTCTTACTGTACACACCGCTTAAGCACGACATTTGCTAAGTGCGTAACTGTGCAGGTTTCCATCAACTCCTCAACAAGCCTGTGAATGGAGGTGGCCAGCGTTCGAAACTCCCATTGTTCTAGGCGCGTTGTGCGACAGGGAATTTCATTAGCGCTAGCAGTTCCTGAGCTCTGCACCTAAGATTTCAGATCAAAATTGCAGAGTGGAAGGAAAGGAGGACTTTTTTCTGCCTCTTCCAGCTACTCTCTGAAGACCGGATAAGAAACCCTCTTAAGAATATTAGGGGGATGGGCAGGGTAAGGACTAGACCATGTGGAAAATGAGCATAATATTTTAGCTGAAGTTCATTCATTTTCAGGTTTGTATTCTAGTTATAAAAAAGCATGCCTAGACATTCCATTGTTGTGCCCACAACCTAGGTTTAAGGTGCCATTTAGCTCCTAGCTTTCATCTCTCAGTTTCTAATACTGGAGGTGGCCACTACTGTTCCCATTTCAGAGGAAGGTGACCAAAGGTGAACTATAAGAACACCTAATGGTTGCATAGATGAGCTAAAATTTGAATCCAAAACCTAGGATGGGCACTAGCCATTGGCCTACAGTTATTCTCTTTAAATTCAGGTTAATTTAATTTATTCTTAAGTGAATTTCATTAATTCAACAGAGGTATAATAGTTCATTACAGAAGATTACCGTGATATCCTGAGGTGTAACTGGAATTTGATGAGCAATGATAATGATTTAAATTAATCCCTTATACCATTTTATAGAACTAAATGGAAGGAAGCCATCAATGGATATTTATCACGAAGAGGCATAAAGCAGGTGTTAATACGGTTATGGGGAACAAGAACTTATAATGTGCTTTACTCTACAGCACAGAAAATATCCACCCGAACAACACAGTTTCCTACCGTCGCCTAACCATGGTTAGCTGCAGTTTACAAAGAGGGTAGAAGCCAATTTGCACACCCTGGCCAAAGCTAACCAAGCTTAGCATCAGCACTGGTGCATGCATAATGCCATACCTTTGTTAGCTCTGAAAAAGTGTGTGTGTGTGTGAGAGAGAGAGAGAGCAATTCATGTGTGAGAAGGAAGGAGGTTTGGGGAAATGAGAACATTATGCCTCCTTAGGGCTTGTGAATAGGACACACATACTTGAGGGGTGTACAGCCTAAACCTCACTCTCTTGGATTTGAAAAAGTTGGTAGGTAAGCTTATGCCAGTTGAGAATGGGAGAAGGTAAGCCACTAAAAAGAGGTACGCCTCAAGTGATTTATTTTATGAAGAATATCCAGCGTCTTCAACCATTGGTCTTCCTCATGGGCAAAGGGTAAGAATACTTGGATGCGCTATAGGAAGGCACATGAAATCCTTTTATGCAGCGGAAGACTCAGAAGTACTGCCGAATTCAGTGGGGCATAGTTCCAGGTAAATGGGTTAGAAATGCCGTTTTAGACATCCTGTATAAAACGAAGCGCTACTACTAGTACCCTTTGCCATCAGCTTGAGGTCCACCTTTTCCTTCACTCCGCAGGTATACTAGTGTCAATTCCCCCCACCTCCTGACTGCGGAAATACCACGCTGCTGAGGGAATAAAACAGTCATGTTGGCTTTGCAGAAAAGTGTGGTGAGCTGGAGCAAGCACGTGAGCTGGAGCAAGCACGTGTGGTGTAGTGGTCAGGGTGTCGGGCTAGGACCTGGGAGACCAGGGTTCAAATCCCCACTCAGCTTTGAAGCTCACTGGGTGACCCTGGGCTAGTCAATGTGTCTCAGCCTGGCCTACCTCACTGTTGCTGGGGATTAATGAGGAGAGGGCAGAAAAGACATACACCACCTTCAGTTCGTCAGAAAAAAAGGTGGGATATAAATGCAATTAGAAATGATAATATACCGTACATAAAATCTGGTAAGCAGCCTGTGATTAGGTCTCAGAATGCCAATACAAAAAGCAATCCCAAGTCAGTTCACTTACCAGCAGCAAGAGCGACTGCTATAGCATCTTGGTTTGCAGCACTTAGGATCTGAACACCCACTGGGAGATGGGGGCACGTCTGTTTCACAGTGGCACAAATGACTGCCATGGCTGCAGTGATTTCTGCACCCACACCAACTGTGTACGGCCGATCATGCATATTTTCTACAATCAAGCCATCCTGTTGGAATTAATATAGAGCTATTAAAAATCAGAAGAGCTGCTCAGAAATAAACAGAGGGCTCTGCATACAGTGGATAGACTGGCAGATAACGCTCAAGGAATTTTCATTGCTGTCATGCACAACAGCGCAGAATCTGCCTTCCTAGCACAGAATCTGGAGCCTTATACAGTATTCTAAGACTTCTCAGTTTTCACTGCCAGAAAAGTGCTTAAGTTACAGGAGAAAAGACTGGTGAGCTTTTATTAAATCTGCAAGGCACAAACTTTGCTTGAGCCAAATCCCATCTTTGTCATATCCTTCTAAAAAAAATTAGCTAAGGGAGCCATCACAAGAGGTAAGGTAGCTGGGACCCCTCCTATGCCCCGTCCCCAGTAATTCATGCAGGAGTAAGAAGGAATACTACTTTAACAATGCCAATAAAAATTCCCAGTATATGTAGCCAAGCTCATTAAAGAGTTTTGGGGGGGCCCCTGCAGATAATAGCAGCAAACAAAGGTGTAAAAAAACCTGCCCACCTTCAAATACTTCTGCAGAAGATAATTTTAAGTGAGAATGACTCCGCTTGTAGAAACCCCCGCTTGCTAAATGCTGACCCAACAGCATGATTTTTGTAAAACAATCATAAAAAATTAACGTTGTGCTCAATTACAGTATATCCCTTTCAAATGAATCTGAAGTGCAAAAGCCATTAAATTGTAACTTTCATTTTCACCAAGTCAAGCCTTAATTTCCCCAAGAGAACAGGGGGCCTTGGCTCAACTGCAATAATCGAGGGATCTGATAACCAAAAGGAATTAAATGAAGACAGTAGAGGAGATGCTTGTTGAGAAGAGCTGGTGGTTCTGTTTTTTGACCTGTTTTTCTACTGAGAGATTAAGAAAAGAAGCAAGTCACTATTTTCTCAGCCAAACCAAACTCACAGGCCTCTTGTGAGGATTAATGGGGTTAGGGGTGGAAATACCATGCGATCCACCCCAAGGTCATGACGTTATCAGGGTGGTCTTTCAGTACTATTTGTGCATGTGGAAGCTTTGAGGCAGTCTTACTGCTTCACTTCCAACCAGTACCTACCCTGTAACTTCCTGATTAACTCCCATAACTTTTCATACCACAAATTCAAAATTCAAATCATACGGGGTGGGGTGGAGTGGGGACATTGTTCCACTTTTGTTGTGCTGTCACCCCTCCAAACAGCAAAAACTTGGTAGCATTGCGGAAGCATCACAGAACAACCAATAACTCAGAAGAAACCTACCACAAATTCACTCCGATTGTGTCAAGAACATGCTGCAGAAGGGGTTCCTAGTTTTTTTACAGGCTGTAGCTGCCCACTTGGACCATATTTAAATTATGAAGCCGAGGGCCTTCTGGCGGTTCCCTCACTGCGAGAAGCCAAGTTACAGGGAACCAGGCAGAGGGCCTTCTCGGTAGTGGTGCCCGCCCTGTGAAACGCCCTCCCACCAGATGTCAAAGAGAACAACAACTACCAGACTTTTAGAAGACATCTGAAGTCAGCCCTGTTTAGGGAAGCTTTTAATGTTGGATGCATTACTGTATTTTAGTATTTTGTTGGAAGTCGCCCAGAGTGGCTGGGGAAGTCCAGCCAGATGGGCAGGGTATAAATAATTATTAATAATAATAATACTAATTGCAGTTTTGCCTCTCCTCTTTCATTTTGGGTACCGTCCCTTCTTTCCCATTCAAGCAATCCCTGGCTGAGCACACGTTTCATTCCAAATGCATGTTCAACATTGTCCACTGAACTGCCCACTGTTGCTCCACCTTGACAAAGTGGTAACTTCCACAAGGAACCAACGTCACTCAAATTTTGGATTCAAAATTGCTAGATGGAGAAGTTTTGCCTTTTCCTGCATTCTGTAAACGAAGCACTGCATCCTCTGTGTTTTGGAGCACGTAGCTCCACCCTCTGAGTACAGCTCAAATTCTAGACAGCAGACCATTATTATTTTTTAAATGACTTTAAGGTCTTCTGGCGGCACTTAGGTAAAAATAAAAAAATTCTCGTATTAAAATAATAAATAAATAACAAAAGACTTGAACACGATTCCTTTGAGTACAGCCAGTTGTGTATACTAGCTCTAGACCCATTAGAAAAATCAATATGGTTTTACATTTTATTGCTCTAGTATTTTCTTCACTTGTGGGTGGGTCAGGCGCTAATAAAAAATGAAAACAAAATTCACCCACAGCAATCAAGCCTACGTATTTTTCTTTTCTCAGATATTTGTTTGTTTTCAATATTTTAGCACATACCACCACTCACAACTCAATTCTGCTATCAAATTGGTGATTAATTCCAACTGCAGGATATGTTAATTTAAAGAACAAATACCACATTTTCCGGAATTTACATAGCTGCCTACTCATACGTCTTTATATTTTTACAGAAATAAAAAGTATGCACATACCCCCTCACTTTCTACTATTTTTTTGTGTTTTTACTAAATTAGCATGGATGTCTTATGTTATGATACAACACCTCTCTATTATATAACAGAATTTACTAAAGAAGCAGAAAGAAAACTGGCGATTTGCAGGTTTAAACACATTTCACAGCACAAATTAATGACTTGCTCACTTCGGCAGCACATATACAAGTTAAAAAAAGAGTTCTTGAAGCCCTTTCCTGTGGAATCTGAAGATGGCTCATATTTTTACTTGGTGTACATAATTTCATTTTTACTTCCCTCAAGTGACTATATTCTGCTATTGATTTCATCAATGTGCTTTGTTCATGCTGTATTAGTGCAAAGCCCAGCAAAAACAATAAAATCTTTTAAGCTGAATGCTTCCACTCTTAGCAAAAATGGCAAAGCTTTCAAGTTGAATGCCTGCACAAGCACACACACACACACACACACACACACACACACACACACCTCACACACATTGTGGCAAGAAACCACATCAGCCCAAAGAACCACATCAGCAAACTATCACATCTGGGAGCTTCCCAAATAGGATTTATTGAAGGGTACTTGGAATAATAGAATTGTAGAGTTAGAAGGGACCACGAGGGTCATCCAGTCCAACCCCCTGCAATGCAGGAATTATAGCTCTAAGGGGGTCCTGCGGATCTCAGGATTCTTTGTGGATAGTCATGCACCTTAAATGTGTAGCGTATATGCAGCTCCTGTGAATTAGGTTAGACTGAGAGGCTATGATGGGCCCAAGGTCACCCATCCTGAGCTTCATGGCTGAGCAAGGACTTGTACTCTAATGTCCAGGAAAACTATTTTCATTTCCCCACATAAATAGACATGGAATGATCCTAACCCTGAATAAGTGTGCAAAGGTTTGCAAAAGTTTTTTTTAAAAAAATAGGGAAGAAGTCAACACCACACTCTTCTGATCTTTCCACATTTTAGCTTGCCCCATGGAAAAATCTCCCCTCTCCTCCCCTTGTGTGTTCTGTTGGTTTTCCAGACCTCCAGAATCAATTGGGGAGCATGGCGGAAGGGAGGTGATATTGCACTAGCAAGACTTGTTCTGGCTTCCATTAGTGCAACTACTTAATAGAACCTGGCCCTAAGAGAATCACACTTCCCTGAAAACAGCCAAATAAGTACTGAGCATCTTCAGTAGCCAGAATTCTAGTATGGGGGGGGGGAGATTTACTTCTCTCTGTACCATTCATAATTTGAAAAATTTAGAAGAGAATGGAAGATACGTAGGAGAAAAGGCATTATCAAAATCTACAGGGTGCAGCCTCTCCAGTGACACTGACGTTTTACAAAAGGCCACGCATGAGGCAAGAAGTTCAGTGATCTAGTAAACGCAATAATGTTGGTATATTTCCCGTCCTCTGTAAAAATGAAAGCCGAACATGGCAAAATTGAGAGGGTTCTAAACTCCTTGGAATCTGTCACTGCATATAATCTTGTCATGGCAATTTTGATTGTGTTTGGCAAAACAAGCATATCGCAGCTACAATTTTTCAGCACAGATGGCATCATGTCTGAGCATTCACTTGTTTTCATTAATATGCTCCAACATTATAAATCTTCCATATTTATTATGTTCTTTTAAAAAAGCACTAATGCATCAAACAAGCCACCTTCTATATAGAAAAAAACCCTGCGGATCTGCTTTCATCAGTCATGTCTGCATACCACTTTGAGACAGGAAGATGTACTTGTAATCCTCTCTATTCTACTCCACTGTTTCAGCAAAAAAAATTTTTTTAAGGGGCTAGGGAAGAGTTATAGCTACAAGAAAGGCAGCAATGGATAGAACAATCACATTAGCATAGATCCCCTCAAATCAGTGGTAATGCATGAGCGTTAAAATGCTACAGTCTATAATGGTTTGGTGAAATCCAAAATGCACAGTAAGTCAAAAATTGTAATGGCAAGCCAGCTTTTGAATTCTCCAGAACTTTTCATCAGAAAGGCTGTTAAATGAAACAAGGGAGCAAGGAGAGGAGACTGTGGTGTTGCTGCTCCCCAAATCTACAACTTATAATAATGACCTTACGGAAGGCAGACGTTTTGCAGACCTAATTGGATTCACATCTCAAGGTGCAAGAAATAGTTGCACCCAGGCTATTGACAAAAATTAAGTCATCCAAGTTGTTGGCCATTAAAACATACTGGATTGGGGCAGGGAGAATCCAATTTTAAACTATGCACTATGTGAAGAAGTCTGTTCTGTGAAGTTTGTCTGTTCTGAGACTTCCAACATTCAGCTTCACTGGATGACCTCAGCCTGTAGCATCAAGAGGAAGGGAGAAAAACTTCTCTAGGATTCCTTCCCCCATATCATGCATAATTTTACACACTTCTCTCATGTCCCACACTTACTCGCCTCTTTTTCTAAACTAAAAAGGCCCCCAAATAGGGAGGTGGTTCAGCATCATGATCAATTGGGTCACCATCTTCTGAATCTGCTCCTGCTCTAGCAATATTGTTTTTGAGGTTTTGCCTCCAGCACTGTGCACAGTACTCAAAGTAAGCCAGAACTGTATTATCTAAGCATATAACCCTTTCTCCACCTGTACTTCAAGGCCACATGTAAATCTACTGCATTCCCATCTTTGACTTATCCTGCATTTCCCCCATCCTTCCTTATAGGCCATTTCTGTTACCCACCTGTCCCAAAAACTTTCCTGTTACATACCTTCATCAACTCTTATCAATACACCCATCAATACACCCATTGAACTTTCTTCCATTCTTTTTTGGCCTTCGGTCCTTTTGTCTTTTGACAGACTAAATTTAGACCCCTCGCTTGACTCTGGCTGTAAAGAGGTGCGACTTTATGAAGCCATACAGAATGCTTATTGTAAAAAAAAAACACAAACCCCAATCGTTTCTAATTAAAAAAAAGAAATCAGTCGAGAAATAACACCAGAACCAAAACTATGGTTCATTTAAGTTCTGCTTGAAGGCTGGTTACCAGGGCATCACATCACCACCATGCCAGGAATTTATATATTCACTGCAGGCAGGTTGATGGAGAAGTGTGAAGCAGCACAGGAATACAGGGTGCAATGGAATGTGTAAAGCATACCCTGACCTTTTCAAAGGACATGCACCCCGTTAAAAATCTGCTGACCTATGGAAATTACTGCAACACCTGAGGACCAATGGAAATTCATTGGTACCTGACTGTTGTTGCCTCTGGCTCAAAGTGGCCTTTCAGGTCTTGCCTTCTAAATACACACAGCAAAAGACTGCTTTCCATCGACAGATGTATCACAGTGATGTTGTGGGTGGGCAACAGTACAGACAAGTGCCAGCTGCATTTGCTGTATTGCCTTTTAATAAGTTAGGCTACGCTGCTCTGCAAAAACCTTAACTACAACAGCCAGGAAGTGAGCACCAGAATGATAAAAAGACGACAGCTTGAACATATATGATATGTATTTAATAAACACATGCAGTGCTATAGAGAGTGCATGACCATTGGTCCATGGAGCTCACTTTGTTGGCTCTTGACCAAAAGTAGATCTCCAAGGTCCCAGACAGAGGAATTTTCCTCCCATTGCTCAAGATTCTTTAACTAGACGAACCTGGAGCATTATATATGCAAAAGCCGAGCTCTGCCACTGAAATATGGGCCCTCCTTTTGTACCTGCTTCATCTTAAACTCCTTGATACCAAGAGAAAAAGGGATTGGCAGACTGTAACCAACTTGAAAACAGAGTGCTGTGTAATTTTTGTATAATGCTACATTTTTTCTGTATGTTTTTATTATTGTCTAGTGTCATTGTTCCCCACTCTGGGCAATATTGAAGAGTGCATTATAAGTACTCAAAATAAATAAATAAGCATCAAAAGAATGAAACTGGAACCTAAATATATATTTAAAAATGTGCACTCCAGTTAAGTTGACAGATTGCTATTTCAGACTATATACAGAACATTAATTTTTGTTTGAATTTCAAATGCACCATCACCACTTTTTATTTCGATCCAGAATTTTGCACAACATTCAACCATGTAAAACATTAACTAGGAAGTTTCAATAAACAAAAGAGAAAGGAAGAGATAGCTCTTACAACTCCTGCAGCCTTGTAAATCTCAGCTTCCTGACAGGCTTCTTCAATGATCTGAGGCAATGGCAAGGTATTCCTTGGGGTTCCTGCAAATATAGAGTTGTCACCACACTTATACAAATACATACGCACACTCTAGCTTTTGATGCCGTCAAGGTTATTGCTATTCTATACTGTGGTGAGTGACAAATTAACCTTCCTTGTCATATGATCAACCAGTGACAAGAACAAATTTCACATATTGGCTATCAGCCCTTCCAGAATCCTCTTGTAATGCTTTCTTACAAATTAATACCATTTAAGTACCATAACTGAAAAAGTGAACAATAAGGCACTTATATAAACAGCAGGACTTCATATGGACTGTAATAGGTAATATTAAAAATTAATAATAATAATACATGTGTAGGATTTATTCAGATACAATGATAAAGCACAGTTACAGGAACAGGCCATAGTGATGCTGCCTTCCTCTTCTGAAGAGATCCTAAGTTTTAGCTTCCATTTTTTTTTATTAACTGCAGCTCATATTACATCCAAACTCAGAAGAATTGTGGTTGATCTTACCTATGGTTTATTGAAAAAAGCCAACTTCAGACCTTCCTTTAGGAAGCTGGCTTATTTCAACAGACCACAGTTAAGATGTACCACAGTTCAGGGTTACTAAACTGTGTTTAATTAAAAATGGAAGCAAATACCTCTGATCTCACCACCATCATGCCTATGAAGGGAAGGTCCAAAGCCTATTCTTCTAATGAAGCTGTAGAAAGGTTCACTAAACTTAAAAGTCAGGCAAAGTATCCTAGTTTTGTATATTCCTTTATATTATATTAATTTAACAAGATACTATCTTGGGAACAAGTCCTACATAGCCTTGGGCTAACCCAGTAAAATGCAGGTTAAAAAGAACAAAGTCAATACAACTATTCATTAATAAAATCACATTAATATATATGATTTTCTGACAGCAACATTTTAGGAAGTATGAAATCCATAAACACATTTCATTTGGATAACTGAACTAACTAAGCATCAGTTAGCCATGCATCCCTTTTACATATTCCAAGGTACCTGGCAGTGCCTGGCTTTTTTTGAAGCACAGAACATCTTTGCCATAATAAATTTCCCCCTAGCACCTGTTAATATTCTCTCCTATCCTGTTGCTTCAAATAACAATTAAAAAATGAGGCATTCACCTGGCAGCGCTTTCACATGGACCATCCCAATGATGACTGATCGTAATCGCCCGAAAAGCTGCAAAAACTTCATCATCTAGAGAGATGGAAAGATCCTCATAAGCATATGACTAATTGGTTTCTTTAATCAAGTAACAGGCCCCAAAAGCAACATCTTGCAAATGAGAACAGTCTGCTTTTGTTTCTTTACTTTCTTTCAAGATATTCACAACCTTCTTAACTCTGTGGGCCCTCATTTTATACAGAATAGGAATTTTATCTATAGGATATCTTACCAGGTTTTCCATCACTTGGGCAGTCCCGTTTTCTAACAGCAGCATCAGTCAATTTACACATATTTAAAACTACTTAACAGAAAAAGTAAGTTGTAATGATGGATAATTTCTTTATAATGTCCTCCGCCAGTGGGAAAGATGGGAAGCAGGGCTCATTTCATCAGCTTTGCTGGAGGCCCAGTTCCATCAGACACCTCCTACTCCTGAACAATGCAAGCTGGTCATTACAAGAACAACAGTTTTAAGAATTTGTTCCGAAGTTTGACTCCCCACCCTCCACTTCCCTCCCTGTCCCTTTCCCCATGTGTGTCCTGCTTTTGTAAACTGTTAGTGTTGGCAGGAACTGCTTTCCTTTAATTGACTGTATGTAAGCCACTCTGGGAGCCTTTTTAGCAGCAGAGCAGAGTACAAATGATGTAAACAGAAAATACAAACTTACGCCAAGGCTCTTGTGTCCTCTAGAACAGTGGTTTTCAACCAGTGTGCAGTGGCATCCCCAGGGTGCCATGAATGATGGTCAGGAGTGCTGTGGGCAACACTGACCTCTGTCCCTCTTTCCTCTGATGCCCTCTGCCATTTCGGCCTCCCAAAGGATTGCACAGCTGTTTGTTACAGCAGCCCTGGCCACAAGCTCTGCAGGTAAATGTTGCCTCTGGGGCTGGTCAGGTGTTGCTGGTTGCCAGTAGCTGAGGCTGCCAGCTCTGCAGGCAAGGGGTGACATAACTGGGCCCCTGAGCCCCACAGGGGTGAGGCAGAAAGAATGCAATTGCTCAAGGGAACCATGGACCCAAAAAGGTTGAAAACCTCTGCTCTAGAGAAACCTTATTCATGAACTCAGACATGTTGTGCTACCACCACTGCTACCAGCAAAAGGCACTCTGCACATGCTCAGGTGCGCTTTCCCTGAGGAGACTCCTCCCAGTCTTTCCCATACTCAAAAAAGTATTAGAAAGCAATAGAAACACTTAAACTTGCAAAAGCCCGGCCCCCAGGTTTGTATGTATGTATGTTTTTTTACATATTAAAAGCAACCCATTGCACCATCTCCCAAAGAAAGCTCAACAACTTATTGCGCCATCTCCCCCCCAAAACTCAACTTTTTGCGCCCCCCCCCATCAAAAATCCTCTCAATATCGCCACTTCCCACTCAATGAATCAGCCGTACTCTGTATATGCTCAGAGGCAGCGAGACCCTGGGAAGTTTGAGGGGAGAAAGATGGGGGGGAGTAGCCGACCGTATAGAGAAGCGCTTCCTCGCCCTCTTCCCGCCCCCAGCAGAGGAAGGAAGCGACCGCCCGTTTCTCCTTCCCGCTCAGCAGCAGCAGCAGCACCGCCTTTCCTCGCAGAAGCCCCGCCCCAGCCACGCCCACCCGCAAGCCACGCCCCCGGGACCCCCCCCCCAGCCAACCTGGGCCGGGGCCTCGCGCTCACCTGGAGGGCCCCCCTCTGCCCCCCCCCCCGCGGAGGCGCCTCCACCTGCCCGAGCCTGGCCTTAGCCTTAGCCTTAGCCTGGCTGCAGGGCGGAGGGGAATGGGGCAAGCCGAAGGCGGCGGCGGCGGCGGCCCTGAGGCGGCAGAAATGCCCGCGCTCGGGGCCTGGGCCCGCCCTGTGCGCGCCGAGAAAAGGCCGCGCTGGCCTGACACGGGAGCCGGCACGCCGTGAGGAGGCGAGAGGACGGCGGCGGCAGCAGCAGCGAGGAGGAGCCCGCCTTCCTGTATCCCGCCGGCCCGCCCACGAAGCCGCCAGCCACACTGCCAGCGCCGGCCGGCTGGCCGACCTCTGCTCCTGGTAAAGTGGGGGGTGGGGGGAGGAAAGAGGAGCCCCTCACCCTCGCCCACAGTTGGGGATCCGGATTCAGAGGGGTTTCCCAGGCATTTCTCCAGGGGCACGGGTGGGGGGGGGGGGTGGGGAGTGAAATGACAGCCTCTCCTTCTACTCTTGGGCACCCTGAAACGAGGAGAGAGGGGTGCATTTTCTCTCCATTCTTGCATTTTCTTTGTCTTGGGGTGTTTTTGGGGGGGATGTTTAACCCCGTTATAAATATGGGGTGGGGGGAGTTAGCATGCTGCCTTGTATGTAGGTGGTTATTTTGTTTGTATTATTTTCGATTTATTGGGTTTTTTGGGGGGTGGTTTTGAGAGGTGGCTGGGTCAAGTTTTCCCTTAATTGCTTTCACATGGAGTAACTTGGATGGGTGCAGTTAATAAGGTGTTAAGAGGGATAGTCCCTTTTTCCTTACCCGGTGCCTCTTTTTCTGGGTGAAAAGACACACACACTCCCCAATGAAACTTACCAAAATATGGGTTTGCAAGTAGTTTCTTAATCCCCCAGATGTGCAACTGTTTCATCTACATGCTGTTGCTGCAGAAGGCTTATTTGGGCCTGCAACATTTTTTGGAGGCTTTTCTGTTCCTTTTTTGTGTTTGAGATGCATATCAATGTTTTTTCTCTCTTGCCTTTCTAAGCTTTTACCAATCCTAAATTTTCATCCTTTCTTCCTATACATTTTCCTCCATCTTACCTTTTTTCTTTGAAAGTAAGCCACACTAACTGAGATATTTATATGCACTGAAAGTGTTTGCAGATTCATCATTGCAGTTTTCTCTCCCCCCCCCCCCAGGGTTGAAGTCTTGATCTCTCCAGACCACCATGTCCAAATCCAGGTGAGTTGTATGCACCTCTGTAGTCTAGGGGTTCCCAAACTGCAGGCCATGGAGCGCTTCATTTAGGTGGTCCTTGGCATGTCTGTTAAAATGCACTTTAAAATCACGTAGCATCTAGCTCACTGCTTTACAGTTGCTGTAACAGGCAGAAAAAATAAGGTCTAGGCCACCAGCAATTTCCAAGTGGTCTGGGGAATGAAAAGAGTTTGGGAACCACTGCTCTAACCTTTAGCAAGGCCTATTTCAAAGGCAGCTTGTAGACCTGGAATGCCCCCTTGCAAATCCTGTTTCAGGAGGAACTTGTAAGCCTGGAACTTCCTGTATAGCAAATACAAAAGAAACTCTCAAGACCATGTATGAACAAGCATGTTGACGGGTGGGTGAAAGGGTGTACTCACGTGCACTTCATAAATGTTTTCTACAGTGAAAACATGTTTTTATAATGCATGGCATGATAGGACTGAATCTTCCCCTCTCTGCAGTGATCGCAAGGACAAGAACACTCCCACAGAAGATGAAGCTCCCACCGACTTCACTGTTCGAACCCGCAAGAGAAAAGCTGATGTTGCCACAGTAAGTGCCTGTATTTGTGGGGGAACGACTCCAGTCATCGAAGAGCACTGCCCAAATCCGATCATGTAACTAGCAACTGTATCCGTTTGAAAGGAAAAACAGCGTTATGACTCACACTCACCCAAAACCTTTTTCATGACATTATCTACTCCTGAAGATAGGATTAGCATACTCGTCAGTTGATTGCCTATTTTAGTTTGGTTAAATAGTCTGTAAAGCGAAGAATGTCACTCTGCATGGTAAGTCCCAGGCAAGGTTAGGAGCAAAGGAAGCTGCCTTATCCTGAGGCTGATTTGCTCGCCATAGTAAGCCAAGTTGTGGCTTACGAAGCCCACACAAACGGGCGTGTTCTCAAAGAGTCCTTTTTACTGCTGCACCATACTGTGCTAAGCCAAGGTTTCTTTTAACATGTTTTCCTGACTGGGGACTTGTGGCCGCACTCTTTTCACTAGCCACAAACTGTAGCTAAAGATTGATTGTAGAGTCTTACTTAGCCATAACTTCATTGACCATGTTACATGAACCAGGTCTGTGTCAGACTACTGGTCCATTTAGCTCAGTGGCTTTCAGTGGTTTAGACAGAACATGTTCCCAGGTCTACCTGGAGATGTCAGGATTGAACCTGCATAAAATGCATGTACTCTACTACAGAACATATATTCTCCTACGGGCCACCTGCTAATAACAGCAGGTATCTCTGAACAGGTACACAAACAGCTGTTTGGGGCAAGGGCCGCTGCCCAGCACTACCTATGGCTCCATCTTTCTGGCTGCAAGAACCAGGAAGTACCCTCTCCACATCAAGTCATCTGCTCTGAGAAGAATTAAACACTAGTTTGGAAACTTAGTAACTTCTAAAAAGTTAACTTCCTTGTTTCATAACGGTGGTTATTTTTATTTTATTTTATTGTAGCTAGGAAAAGTATCAGAACAGTGATAAAAGTATCTATTTTCATTCTTAATGCATTCAAAGTACTTGACTGTTGCTCGATTGATTAGCTGCTCTATTCTCATTTGAGTGATTCTATACTCAATCCCACCTAAATAAATCCCTTGCCTAACTTTCAGTAGAAAATTGAATTGCAGACTTTTAGCAAGCACACTGCCCCCCCCATGCCACCTCCACATAAGTAAAATAGTTGCAATGTGCATGGGGGAAACAACGAATTCCTTAAGGTTTTTCCATTTACACTTAGGTTTAACCTTGGCTAAAGGCAAAAGGCAAAACATAATTATGTAGACACGTGCTAGCTGGTAGATCTTGGTGGATTCTATCTTCGCAGAATAGATGGTAGTACAGTGGTACCTCGGGTTAAGAACTTAATTCGTTCCGGAGGTCCGTTCTTAACCTGAAACTGTTCTTAACCTGAAGCACCACTTTAGCTAATGGGGCCTCCTGCTGCCACCGTGCCGCCGGAGCACGATTTCTGTTCTCATCCTGAAGCAAAGTTCTTAACCTGAGGTACTATTTCTGGGTTAGCGGAGTCTGTAACCTGAAGCATCTGTAACCCGAGGTACCACTGTACATTTGTGCTCATGTAACCGTATCCAATCCTGCTAACCTAGCAGTTCGAAAGCACGTCAAAGTGCAAGTAGATAAATAGGTACCGCTCCGGCGGGAAGATAAACGGCGTTTCTGTGTGCTGCTCTGGTTCGCCAGAAGCTGCTTAGTCATGCTGGCCACATGACCTGGAAGCTGTACACTGGGTCCCTCGGCCAATAAAGCGAGATAAGCGCTGCAACCCCAGAGTCGGCCACGACTGGACCTAATGGTCAGGGGTTAGGGTCCCTTTACCTTTAACCGTATCCAAAATGAGTAGTGAAACGCATGTGAACAGCCATCGCATATGTAAAGCCTGTATTTTAACTTCCTTGTTATGATAGCTAATGTTCATGAACTGCCTTAAGACTATAGCATAGGGAGACCTTGGCTGAATCAGGCCAAAAGCTCATCTAGTCACTGTTCTCGCAGTGGCCAACCAGATGCCTGTGGAAAGCTCACAAGCAGAGCCGGAGTCATCTAATCCCAGAGCCACTTCTCTCTATTCACCGCCCCCCGTTTACTGCAGGCTGGTAAACCTCACTTCATTTTTTTCCATGTAGTTTTTACAGGATCCAGATGAAGAAATTGCCAAAACAGAAATTACCAAGAAGAAACAGAATGAGAGCCAGGTAATTACTTGGTAGTTGGACTGGTATTCAGTGATACTGTTTTAATTTGTATAGCTCTGTTGGGTCCTGAAGCATTAAGCCAGGTGTGGAGAACCTGTGGACCTCCAGCTCTTGCTGTGCTTCCATCAAACCTGATCACTGGCCATGCTGGCTGAGGCATGATGGGAGTTTGAGTCCAGCAACATCTGGATGGTCACAGGTTTCCCATCCCTGCATCACACCTATGAGACTTAGAGGATACAATCAGTTCCAACTTTCTCTAGTTCCCAGGCACAGAGGCATATTTGTTGTTGTTTGTCCCATGTACCTGTGGTAGGACTGTGGTAGGACTGTGAAGTTGTTGGAAATTCTCACTTTTCAGGGTTTCAACTTCTGCCCAGAGCCTGTAGATTCTGCATTTCTGAGCAGAGAGAGGTGGGAGATGCTGCCTACATCTGATGCATATTCACTCAAACACCAAGGCATCATGCCATGAATAGGGTGCCTTTTCATATGCTTCAAATACAGTATTTTTAGACTATGTTTTCCCCAGTAATACGTTTAACCAAACTGAAATAAACACAATGGGTTACATTCAACTAAATCCTAACCAGAGGAAACCCTTGAAATTAATGAACCTAAGTGTGTAATGCCCATTAACTTCAATGGGTCCACTCAGAGTAGGACTAATGGGGAATATCACCCATTGTCCAGGCTTTTCCACTGGAAGAGGACAGGCTGTTGCCAAGTAAATGTAACCCAGTAGAACCCAGTAGGTGGCATGTCCCTATCTTTAAACTGTGAAATGTTGGGAGGGTGCAATATATTGCAATGTAGTGACCAAATGTTTTGAGTTGTGGTATGGATGTCTTAGCTCAGCTTTACCTATGAATGTACTAATTGCTCTCATTCAAGCCACAATCTTAATTAGAAGGTTTGAGACAAAATTTGTGAATTCTCATATCACTAGATGCCCTGGACTCCCAGATCTATCAGTGAGCAGTAGGGTCCCTTTAAAAGGAAACCAAAAATATTTGGGCTTTGCATCTTTTTTAGAAAAAGTCCCACTTTTCATTTCCATCTCTTTGCTAGGCACAGATACATAGGACTATGAAGAGCTCCATTTTTGTTGAAATGAGCCTGCATAATCTTTGTGTACAGAGATGAAATTGGCTGGAGCTGAAAAGAATGCATCAGCTTCCTTTGTCTATTGTGACAGTTTTCAGGGTGGTAGTTAAACTGCGGAAAGAGTGATCAGGAAATGTTGCTCCTTTTTTTTTTTGCTTTTTTTTGCTTTTTTTTTTTTTTGTCCACTGGCTAATCCAAAATGTGGTATACCTTCCCAATTAAGGCAGCTGGAGATCTAGAGGCTAATGCTACCATAGCAGATGGGCTTTGTTTGCTATGGATTCTGCTTCCTACAACTCCCTATTCCAGTTGTCGGTCAACCTGTTCAACATTCATTTTCTGGACCTTTCCTTATGAGGAGGGAGTTTCCTTCCCTTTCGTCATCATAGGGGGAGATACAATATTAACTAATCAGGTTTGACCAGGGAGGGTTAACCGGCTTTCACCACACTGTCTGGTCTTTTTCCCCATTTTGCTGAGGTGAAATCCATCAACTGACCTGGCAAAGTTTTGATGGAAATAAGTGACCAACTTGTTTCTTAAGATTCCTTAAATACTAAATTTAAGTGTACAGATTAAACCATGCATATTCCTAAAAGAAGATGGTTGAGAAAACATGTCTAATTAGGTCCACTACTCAGAACTAGATCATGGCTCCTTCATGAGTGCTTTTGTGGTTGCTAACCCAATTATGCCACATTACAGTAGGGCTGTGTGATAAATTGCCATATTGTTGAACATAAACAAAGAACTGGAAAGCACTTCTTCTCTCACACTCACCCCAACCGGAGGGGGAAGAGTTACTATTTTCTGGTGGTAATTATGTTGTTGGTTTGCCCTAAATAACTTCCCTCTATATAAAAAAGGAAGGCTATTTATTTATTTATTTATTTAAATGAGACTGGTGGGATGAGGACCCTTCGGGGTGGGTAATGGAGAGAAGATTTAGCTGGTTGCCTTATGCTGAAATGGGAGGTTGGATACTATGTGAGTTTGATGGGGAGGGTGTTTTTCGGTAAGCAGGGCAAGCAAGTGCATGTCTACTCACAAGCAAGCCATACTGAATTCAAAGGCCCTCCACCGTCATACGGAGCCATGTCAAAGCCTTCGGCTGCTGCGGGGAAGCGCGGTGCACCCTCCACTGCCATGAGGAGGCATGGCAAGGCCCTATGCTGCGCGGAAGCGCAGCAGGGAGGTATGGTGGGACTCTCTGCCACCATGGGGAGGTGTAGCAAAACCCTTTGCTGCTGCAGGGAAGTGCGGTACACCCTCCGCTGCCATGGAGAGGTATGGCAGGAAATTCTGCCACTGAGGGGAGGCGCAAGGCCCTCTGGCGCTGCAGGGAACCGTGGCACATCCTCTGCCGCCGCTGGGAGATATGGCGGGACCCTCTGCCACTTGGGAAAGCATGGCAAGGCCATCTGCTGCTGTGGGGAAGTGCAGTGCAGCCTCTGCTACCATGGGGAGAGATACGGCAGGACCCTCTGCCGCCGCGGGGCAGAGCAGCTAAGCCCTTCTCTACTGCAGATATATATAGAGATATTGTGATACTTAACTGGTGAGATATCGTGATGTTGAAAACCAGATCTCTCCCAGCCCTTCATCACAGTGTGTTTAATAGCCCTTAGATGTGTCATTCCACATGGTGTTGCCTTGCATCAGGTACAACTGCAATATTCTGCCTACACTTGGCAGAATATTTTAGATATTGTGGAGATTGTAGGAATAATTTACATTAACTGTTTTACCTACCCTTTTCCTTTTCAATAGTGTGTAGAAGAAAGCTCAAACAGCTGCATGGTTACATTTCCAAAGCAAAAGTTTGCATAAAATGCATTTGCCTTGCAGCTCTTGCTCAGCAATAAAGCTGTTAGCACAGCATCTGTTCCTATATGGAGAAAGTGCTTTGCTGTAACAATATGTTGTGCTGGCTATCTTGAAGGCTTATGAAGCCATCATCTGACAGCTCAACAGCAGCTCTGTAGTCTATGGTATAGCATTCATAGAGTTATAGAGTTGGAAAGACCCTGAGCGTTATCTAGTCCAACCCCCTACAGTGTAGGAATCTCAACTAACGCACTCATGACAGATGGTCATACAACCTCTGCTTTAAAACCTTCAAGGAAGGAGACTACACCACCTTCAGAGGAAGTCTATTCCACTGTTGAGCAGCTGTTACCATCAAAAAGTTCTTCCTGATGCTTAGTCATAACCTCTTTTCTTGTAACTTGAAGCTATTGGCTTGGGTCCTAACCTCTGGAGCAGGAGAAAACAGTCTTGTTCCATCTTCCATGTGACAGCCCTTTAGATATTTGAAGATAGCTATCATATCTCCCCTCAGTCATCTCTTTTTCAGGCTAAACATACCCAACTCCCTCAACCGTTCCTTGTACGGCTTGGGTTTCCAGAACCTTGATAATCTTGGTCACCCTTCTCTGCACACCTATCTTGTCATTATCCTTAACTTGTGGCACCAAGAACTAGACACAGTTCCGTAAGTTACTTCTTGGTATGAATTGGTTTCTGTCACTAATGAGAATGGATCTTTTATCAACACCATATACCCAGCTATTGGAAAAACAAGAGAAGCTTTAAAAAAAGAAACCCAGTGAATTATGAATTGAAATATGCTTGACTGTTCCATTGACTGGATGGAGGATATTTCACTGTCAATATCATGCATAGAAGAAGCACTGTCAGTCCCACTTAAAGTGTGCAGAGTTCATTGGTAGTATCAGCCTAACATAAGGCTAGAGCTTTTAATTGCAACACAGCTCCCTTTTTACATTAAGAAAGGGCAGTTATATTGCCCAGTTGGCAGAAGCAGATTTTTTCAGCATGTGGTTCTCAAGACGATTGTGTCATAGCTAAAAATGCTTGCTATTTCTCAAACTAGCCCTGTTTCTTTTAACTCATACACAGGTAGCTTGATTAACAAGCAGCTTGTGATAAATTGTGGTATGTTAGTTGAAATCAACATAGTTTTTAAGGGCCTATGCAGGTAAGCTGAGCTAGAAAAAGAGCTGTAATTTTGTTCCCTTCAACATGCTTTTTTACCTGCTGAATACCAGCTATCTTGTTTTATCCCCATACCCTTACCTGGTGATGGTGCTTTTTGTAGAAGTGATGTGTTGCTTTCCATGTTGCACCTTCATTTGAGCAGGGGATGATAAAGAAACTCTTCTTGCTTTCCAAAGATGGAAAAAACCAAAGAGCAGTGCCTTGTGTGCTGTGATTGCTGCAGAACTAGCCGTTTTGTTTCTTTGGCACTTGCTGTGTTATGAGACCTGGTAGTTTCAGAATAAGGAAGGAGTGTGTGCGTCTCCCAGCCTAAGTAGGACAAAGAATAATTTAGATCTGACTTGCAAAAATGGACAATGTTTAAAACAGGTATGGGGATCCCTTGGCCCTAACAAGTAACATGCACTTACTTGTGGCTTTCTTCTCAAAAGGCTTTGAGACAGTGAGATCTGTACCCACAAGGTTTCACTTATGCTGTACTGTTGTAGTAGAGTAGATTTTGGATGTGAATCCAGATTCTAGGTTGCTAAATGACTTCTAAGCATTAGGCATCTAGCCTTGTTCCAAGCTGCCTTCTGGGTTTGTTGCTTCCTGCCAGCCATATGTTCACTGTAACTTCAGTATAGATGATTTAGGGGCATAAATGTCAAACAAACATGTTGAGGAGGAGAAAGCAAAGCAAGGAGCAAGAGGAGAAAAGCAGCACAACTTTCTGAATTTCTTGTGGGCCCAGGTCAGAATACAGATGGAACTTTTGCTGGATATAGTACCATTCTGCTTCAGCTGACATCCTTTGGGTTTTTGCTCAAAAACTAATTGATACATATAGAGTCCAGAAACACTGTCTGGTAAAGATGTTGGTTTCATGTTGAGTCACCATTTACGTTCACCCCAGTGGTGACTTTCAGTGATCTAGTTATAACAGACCAGCAGTTTTGAGCTGCTTCTCATGTAAGCCCTTGCACATGCAATTTTCACTATGATTAAACAGAGAGCTGTGGTTTTTAAAGGTGTTAAAGAAGAGGCAACTGTTCAGAAAAGTTGAGTTGTGTGCATGTGTAAAAGAATTCTGAAGCTTAGAAATCACTTTTGGGGTTTGGAGTGAAGTGTTCTGGTGCGCTGCTAATGCTACCCTTTCTGCAAAATATCTGCAACATCAGTTATCAGCTTGAAGATTCCATATACTGCTGGGAATTTGTATTCCTTCCCTTGTACATAGCTAACATACTTCAGTTTCTCCTTGATGTGCTAGTTTCACATGAGTATAATTTTCCAAAGCATACAATTCCAGAATGCGAGGAATGCTGTGCATGCCAATTTGCGTTTGGCATCCGAAGTTTTCTGTTAAGATTAGTTGTATTGTAATCCCAAAACGGCTAAATTCATACACTTTTAGTTATTCTTGTGCATGCATTGCAGGGGCAACAATCTTTTTTGTTTTTTAAAAAGCCAGCATTGTTTTTCTTTTTGTGTTCATTACCACAGGAACTCAGAGAAAACAGGATAACTGTTTGGGACTTCCATCTGTTTCCTCCCCACCTGAAGTCCTAATCCCTCTGTTTCTTGATTTCTACTATCAAGGATATTGCCATCAGGTGGAAAATAAACAGATGGGATTCTGAAACTGAAAGCCTGTTTTCCTTCATACAGAATATTTTTGTGCCTGGCAGAGCAAGTGCAGTGTCACAAGTGCTCTTTTAAAAAGACCGCTTGCTGAGTTGGTGACCATTTGTCTCTTCTCTTGAAGCAACAATAGCTTTTTTCAGAGGCGAACATATGAAAGGTAAATTGCCATATATTCGAGCGCGGTGACTAAAAACACTTGCCTTTTAACTCTTTCTGAATTTGTTGTGGGGAGGACTAATCAACTGTTCAATGAACTTTATAACTGTGAGATTTAATGGCTCCCCCTTTTTATTTTTTCTTCAATAGCCGTTTTCAAACTATGATGTGTGCGCACATCCCCATATGCTGATCCCAACACCAGAGAAAGATGATGAGCTGGGAAGCCCAAACTTCTCTCCTTTCATGCTCCAAAGCCTTGCTTCATCTAGAGATTCGCCGTTGCCTGTTTTGGGGTAATTTTTCCTAATTTCATGGCCTCCTGTTCCATTATTGCCTGTTACACTTTTTTCCCCACATTTACTCTTGTTCTTTCTCTCTCTCCTGCAGCTGGGCAAATAGGGATGAAGTGTGGAAAAACATGATAATAAAAGAACAGGCATACATAAGGGATAAACTATATCTGCAAAGGCATCCACTCTTGCAACCTAAAATGCGGGTGATTCTTCTAGACTGGCTAATGGAGGTGAGACTGTCTTCTTATGCTAATATTTGAAACAACGAACACATCGATGTGAGATTGTTATCATAGTCTGTCTGGAGTTTCCTTGGGAGCAAAGGGTGTTTTGGAACTACTACCCTGGTAGAAGGGGAACTTATTCCTTCAGTAGCTCCTAGTTCTATTCCCAGCATAGGATAGATTGCTGCCCGTCTGATAGAGCTGGTTCAGAATGGACTAGAGATCCAGGTGAGGAATATCAAGAATTGCTAATAGGGAAGGAAGGTGGCGGGGAGAGTTCGGAGAGGGACATGCACACAACAACTTCAAAAAGGCACTCTGGTAAAAGTGGCTGCTCGGAAGGTTGTTCTCAGAAGCATTGGGATTTTTAGAAAACTAAAGCACTAGGATGCCATGGGAAATGAAAGGGGACACAGATGTCGGGACAATTCATAGCTAAGCAATAGCAGTTGGGTAGCCAGAACAGTGCCCAGGGCTCTCAGTATTGTCAGTCAGTGTGTGCATTTGGGCGTGGTAGGGATTGGATCTCCCAAGCAGGATAAGCCATTTTCATGCCCATACAAGTCCTAGGATGCTCGTTTCCATTTCAATGGACGGATCCTGAGGGTAGGTCCTGGCCCCTACAATCAGGCCTCAGTTTCTTGGAGCTGTTTTGCCTTGTACAACAGCCATAGGCAAGGCAAAAAGGAGTCCCCATCACAAATCATGAATTGACTCTCCTTGTCATAGCCTGGAAGTCAGGCAGTTGTTCTTTATAGGAAAACAAATACTCTCTCTGCAAAGACAGTAACACTTAAGGAAAACATTCTTCTAGTTTCAGCAAACTTTTCTTCATTGTAGGCTTTATGCTTCGGTGAAGAAACAAATGTTTACTGCACTTTGGTTCACTTCTATGCTTCTCTGCCAAAATGTTAGAGAGGGGCAATGAGGGGAAATATTTCCAGTCCCTATCCCATCTTTTTATTGTGGCAAACATTGCTGTATCCTTTCTTCCCTCTTAACAGGCGTTTTTCTGCACTCCAGTCCGTTTTTTGCATTTGTCAGTGCAGGGAGACTTTTTATTTATTTTTGCTGGTGCCACAGGGGCTTCCCTTCAGTTTTCGTGTCATGTCATTCAGCATGTATTCATATTGTCAGACCAACGCCTCCAAAACAAAGGCCCCAGGGTGCTCCAGATCCTAGGAAAACTTTGTGGTGTTCTGCTAGCAAGTAGTTCATTCCATTTGCAGTTGCAGCTGGCCCAGTGCAAAGTGAGGTGGCTGCTGAAGTAAGATTCAACTTCCAGTTAGGTTGGGTTTTGTACTTCTTTTGCAGGGCGAGGAACAGCATGTAGTCTTTTGCTTGGGGCAGCAAAATGTCTTGAATCAGCTCTGCTTATAGTACAAAAATGAACATATTTTGGGGCAGGAAAGCATAGCTATATCATAGACTAAATCAGCTCATCTTTAGGAAACACTATACAGTTGTACCTTTGTTCTTGAACGCAATCCATTCCGGAAGTCTGTTCGACTTCCAAAATGTTCAGAAACCAAGGCACGGCTTCCAGTTGACTGCAGGAAGCTCCTGCAGCCAATTGGAAGCCGCGTTGGACGTTCAGCTTCAAAACATAGTTCGCAAAATGTTCAGGAGCCAAAACGTTTGAGTTGTTTGAAAACCAAGGTGCAACTGTAGTTCCACTGAGCTTCACATTAAGAAGGTCCCTGGTTCATCATGGAGTTATGCAGCTGAGAAGCAGAATGACACCCTTCTGTCTCTTGCAGGTTTGCGAAGTCTACAAGCTTCATAGAGAGACATTTTATTTGGCACAGGATTTTTTCGATCGGTTCATGGCAACGCAACAGAACATTGTAAAGACACTTCTGCAACTTATTGGAATTTCATCCTTATTTATAGCCGCAAAGCTTGAGGTAAAACGAGTCTTGCCCTGCAAACCTAAATGCATTTTCTGTGGTGCAATCTCCACTTAACGTGGTGAGACTTGCTTTCAAGTAAATATGCATAGGATCACACTCTTAAAGTAAAAGAAATTGGATGTCTATTCTTTTGTGAGCCATCTTTTGATGGAATGCAATCTGGGATTGAAAATGGTTTGGGCTTTGTTGTTCTGCTCCTACAATACTATTTTTATATAAAGTATAATCTTTTAAGCTTGGAGGAATCATTAGTGGTCTGCAGATGTTGGAGTACTATTCCCATCATCCTTGGTGATGTTGGCTGGGGCTGATGGAAGTTGGAGCACAAAACCTTCTGATTGAAACAGCTGGGGAAAGCTGCTTTAAGAGGTTAGCACGTCTGTTTTAAAGCATGGGTTACTTTAGTAACAATCCATGTTATCAGAAGTACATTCGGCCTCCTTCCAGTCCAGTCCTGACCTCTGGTCTAAATCCTACAGTGAAATGCCACACTTAAACATTTTTAAACTTCCAAGAATTATTTACGTTTTATGGTACTTGTAGGTTGCCTCTCTGCCTGAAAGCACCCAAGCTACTATTTAACATTAATAACTAAAATGGGTGTGGGTGTGTTCGTCATTAAAGTTCAATAAAACCAAATTGAAGTTGCCTTTCACTTGCCTCCCTGTTTTAAGATGAATCAGACACACACCAGTGACGTTGACATACTGGCAGATGTGTGATAAGCCTTAAGCACTTTTTTGTAGAAGACATCTTTGTAAATTTGATAAGAACACCAACTCTTGTGTACAAATTCTGGTTCCTCAAAGTCCTTCTTTGTATTTCCTTCCCCACTGCAGCTGGTAATATCATAGAAATGAACAGATATGGGGCTGCAAACTGCAGGAAGAAGAGAAAGGCTGTGTTTTCACATACATTTCAAAGTAAAAGGCTTTGTCACCTGCCGTCTTGGCCATTTTGATTGAAGAGGCTATGATCCTTGATGGATCTTGTGTTCTTAACAGCAGCCATAAAGTTGCTATTACATTTGCTGCTGGGCCTAATTGATCTGAGTTCGGAAATCCCTGTACATCAGAATAGTGCTGTTACCCCCCCCCCCCAAATTAGGCATTGATAGCTGTCAGTGTCTGGAACCATCTGGCTTTGCCATTTACCACTGTTGACAATGCATTGATGTCCCATCTTCCATGTTTCAGGAAATCTATCCTCCAAAGTTGCAGCAGTTTGCATATGTTACAGATGGGGCTTGTACTGAAGAAGAAATTCTTAGTATGGAACTCATCATTATGAAGGTAAATGTGATTGTGTGTGTGTGTGTGTGTGTGTGTGTTTGGAATGGATTGTAGGGAAAATTGCATTCTTCTTTTTTAAAAGTCGCATCCTCGGTACCTTGAGCAAAGCCTTTCCCAAGCCACTCAGTGCAATCAGCCATGGTGAAAAGGCAGCACTTTTTGTTGCCAAAAGCATGTCAGTTAATCAGTGGCATGTCTGTCTTTCAGTTCTTTATCTTCCATTATCAGTGATTCTTTTATAGCTGTGTAGATAGAAATCTCCTGTCCATTTTGAGACATCTGAAACAGCTTGGCTCAGCATGAAAGACTGCTGGTGCATTTTGACATAGAGTAGTACATTTTGTAAGTCCATGGTGAAAGTGACCCAAATTCCATCTGTGTACTAATTCTGTAACTTGCAATATGTTATTGTTAGTAGTAGTAGTACTTACAAGTAGGTGTAAGTGCAACCTCAGGGTAATAATGCATGGGATTTCTTTCTCTTTCTAACCCAGCCCTCTCTTTAATCATTGCAACAGCCCTGTGTAAGGTTAAGCGAGAGTGACTGGCACAAAGTCATCTGGGGAAGTTCATAGTTGAGTTTAATTCCAGTCGCCTTGGTCAAAGACCCTGTCCTCTACAGCACACTGGCTCTCATATTTATTTTTTCATAAGTGTGTACAGTGGTACCTCGGTTTACAAACTTAATCCGTTCCGGAAGTCCGTTCTTAAACCGAAACCATTCTTAAACCGAGACGCGCTTTCCCTAATGAGGCCTCCTGCCGCCGGTGCTCTTTCACCGTTTGGATTCCGTTCTTAGACCGAGGTAAAGTTCGCAAACCGGGACACTACTTCCGGTTTTGCAGAGTTCGTAAATCGAATCGTTCGTAAACAGGACTGTTTTGAAACTGAGGTACCACTGTATATGAATGTGCAGCGTGGCAGCAGGATTGCACTTGCCACGTGTGCATTCTGGATTAGGCCAAAGGTCCAGTATTCTCACACTGGTCATCAGGTTCCCAAAGGAAGCCCGCAAGCAGGACTCAAGTGCAACAAGACTCTAATTCATATCTGTCCAAGTGGGTGGCCATTACTGTCTCTTGAGGGAGTGCATTTCATAGTTTAACTATGTGTTGTGTGAAGAAGTACTCCAGAGATGCCCTGCCTCTGCACTCTGATGTAAAAGTGAATGTCAGATACCTGCATTGCAGGGGGTTGGACTTGGGAATCCCTTCTGACTGTGATTCTATGCTAAGCATAATTGTAGCATCAGTGCATTGGAATGAATGCACATGTGTCTCCTGTGCTTACTACCATTAGTATATGGAATCAAGGCCTGATTTGCTTCTTTTTTACATGTTTGGCATAGACTCTTGCCCCATAGGTTATTTATTTAGCCTCCATGTCGGTGCCAACGAAGGAGAGAGCTTTCTAGGCTTGCTGTGATGAGCCCCATCACAGTTTTGTATCAAAGCTGTTACAAAAGTCGACGACTGTTGTCAGTCCGTAACCACATTCAGTTGTGTTTGCAAAGAAGAGCAAGCAAATACCCTGTGGGTGCTAAAGAAACTCACTTTACCTCCTGACATGCACGCTCTCTTCTAGGCACTCAATTGGAATCTGAGTCCCCTCACGGTTGTGTCCTGGCTAAACATATACATGCAGGTCGCTTATCTAAATGAAATCTGTGAGATGCTGCTACCGCAATACCCCCAGGAGATATTTGTGCAGATAGCTGAGGTAAGGACGAATTCTGCCCTTAAACATTTCACCCGCCACTTTTGTTAGAAACGTTTCCTTTCAAGCTCTCTATCCCCTCTCTCCAGCTTTTGGATCTCTGCGTGCTGGATGTTGGCTGTTTGGACTACTCCTATGGCGCCTTAGCTGCTTCTGCATTATATCACTTCTCCTCTTGTGAGCTGATGCAGAAGGTTTCGGGTAAGCTGCGTTTTAATGAAAGAGAAGAAATCCAGTGGTTCTAAGTCAAGCGGAGGCATGACTTACAAAGGCGGGTATCTTCTTGATTTTCTAGGTTATCAATTATGGGAAATACAGGACTGTGTGAAGTGGATGGTTCCCTTTGCTGTGGCCATCAAGGAGGTGGGGAGCTCGCCGCTCAAACACTTCAGAGGCATTCCTTTGGAAGATTTGCACAATATACAGATGCACATTAACACCTTTAACTTGCTGGTGAGTGTTCTCATAGATACATCTTAGTGGCCAAAGGCCTCCTTGCTTTTGTAAGGTAACAGTAAAGGGACCCCTGCCTGTTAAGTCCAGTCGCAGATGACTCTGGGGCAGCAGCGCTCATCTCGCTTTACTGGCCGAGGGAGCCGGCGTACAGCTTCCGGGTCATGTGGCCAGCATGTCTAAGCTACTTCTGGCGAACCAGAGCTTTGCACGGAAACGCCGTTTACCTTCCTGCCGGAGCGGTACCTATTTATCTACTTGCACTTTGATGTGCTTTCGAACTGCTAGGTTGGCAGGAGGTGGGACCGAGCAACAGGAGCTCACCCCATCGTGGGGATTCAAACTGCTGACCTTCTGATCCACAAGCCTAGGCTCAGTGGGTTTAGACCACCATACTTTGCTTTCATAGAGCATGAGAATAAAAGGTGAAATGTGTGTGTGTGAGAGAGAGAGAATGTTGTATTCAACTAACTTTTAGAGTCGGCCCAGTGAAATTAATAGACCCAAGTTAGTCCCGGCCATTAATTTCACTGGGTCTAACTCATGAGTGAAAGATAGTTGAATGCAACACTAAATGTTCAGAAACTCCCTCAAAAGTGTTAAATGCAAGAGGACATCAGGGTACCTTCCCAACCCCTGGCCCTCAAGCATATACAGCTGGGCTGTGATGAAGTGAGGCCTGGTAAGTCTCATCACTTCATCTCTCCCTGTTTGTCTACATCAGGTCTGGGGAACCTTTAGCCCCTCTTGGTGAACTACAGCTGCCAACATTCCTGGCCATTGGCCATGCTTGCTAGGGCATATGGGAGCTGTTGTTCAGCAAGGCCCCCCACTCCTGGTCTAAAGTGTTGGACTTAAACCTGAGAGACTGACTTTGAAAACAGACTTGATCTGTGTGATTTAGTGATTAGATCAGGAGAGCATATTTAAAATTTAATTCCATTTTTGAATCTATCTGAATCGTCTCAAAGCGATAAGCAGAAACATCAACAGTAAAAACTATTTAATATATAAAAACAATTTAATATATAAAAACCATTCAGAGCCAGTGCAGATGCAGGAAGCTTTGCAATCCTGTCCCATTAGCCTATATAACTTAGAACCTAGTGACTTGCCTTTCCGGTTAACGGGAAAGGGTTGTAAAGCACTCTTGCCAGTTTTGCAACTTAAATCGCATTCCCGATGCAGCAAATGTTAGTGATTTCTGGAAATAATGTTTGAGCTGTAGCAACGGGGAGTAATATTCCCTCATTGTAATGTTGAATTCTTAAGCCTGCTCGTGTACAGATTTGACTTTTCATAACTAATTCTCAGTTTTGTGCTGGAATGCCCACCACATATGATATATATGTATGCTTTGGCACTCGTCATTTTAAAACATGGTCACGCAGCAGAGGATTGGGGTCCTTCTCATGTATTTTAAAGTTGTAAGTACACAAACACATAGACTAGGTATCTGTGTCCAGATGCAGCTTTCTGTATATATTCCTCTCTGAGTATGTGTCATGAGTTTGCTCTTGAAACCTAAAAACAACACAGGGATTCTGGACACATGAATGAGCAGTCAATCATTCACTCTCGGCGTTCTTCTTTTCTAGGACAAAGTTCAAGAAAAACAAGCTGCATTGGCCAAGAAGAGGAGGAGTTCTCCTCTACCCCTGGGTGTCCTCACCCCACCTCAGAGCAGTAAGAAATTGTCTCTGACACCCAAACAGCTGTAACCTTTTCACAAGCTACTCAACCTGAAGACCTCTTGGCCAAAACGCCTTTATAATTCTTGATTCTTTACTGTGAGATGCTGCCAATGACTTACCCAAGTGTCTTATGTATTCTAAAGAGGAAAGTCTTCACTTTTTTATGGTGGAGGAAACCTGCATTATTTTTATGGGACACTTTGATTTTTAAATGAACTGATGGGGTACGCCAGCCACCCAAAAACAACAAGCATTTGCTTGGATTGCTGCTAAGGAGGGCGATACTCGTTGTGCTGACTCGAAAAGGGGGTGGGAAGAGAAAAAGGGGTTCTGCCTTCTGCCCTTCTGGGGCATTAACCATACTCTGGATTTTGCTAGCTGTGGATGGCAAGCTCCTTCTCAGACCTTCCTAGTTTACAACTTGATCCTTTTTTAACTAAACACTTTGTATAAATGGTCTTATGTGTCTTAATTTTAAAATAAAATGCTATCAGCTGCGTCCTAGGCAGTCTTGGTTTTATATGTCATAACTCTGGAAGCTGAAAGACAGCTAAAACTTTTATTTCCAATTACAGTTAAGGAAAATACTTGGTGCTGTCATTGTACATGCTGCCGTACAGAATTCAGGAAGGTTGTAGGTTTCTCCCATTCACAGCTAAATAGCAGCTCTAGGGGAGGGGGATGTTTGGATCAGGGCTGTGATGGAGAATTGGACTCTTCCCCCCCTCCCAATCCATATTGGTTGGGGGCCTGACAGCCTATGTTTTTTTATCTCAGATATCTTTTGGCAATCTGTGTTTTGGAGATGCCCTGGAGGTTATGATGCAGAAAACATGCGTTTTCCTAATTCAGACAGCTTTTTGAAACAGTAGAAGGTCTATCCTGTTTGTGTCTTACGAATATCAGACTTTCAGAAGGCGGCTGTAAATTGGACAGTAACAGAATGAGTGTAAATATCAACTTTGATGGTGTAAAGCTGACAGCTTGATTGTTTTGTTACAGATTAGTAGCAGCTATGCATTCAAAAGACTGGTCTTGTATTATCCTTGGATTCATATCTGATTAGATTCAAATCTATTAGGCTGTAGTGCAGAAGATGCTGCCATAATTGACAGTGGCCTCTTTTTGGGAAGGGCAGGGGGAGGTGTTTACACATCCCTAATTTAACTCAAATGACCCCAAGGCATTGAATTACTTCTTGGTGGTCCAGAAACAGGCCACTCGCCCTTCAAAATTTTATTGGACAATAATATTTATTTATGTCATAAAATGTATACCGATTGAGTGTAAACAAGACAAAACAAAAGTGGTTGACAAAAAGAATAATATCATAATGTTATCGGTTAAAACAACTATTTAAAACAATGGGTCAGTCGTGTCTGGCTGTTAACCCGAAGGTTGGTGGTTTGAGCCCACCCAGGGACGGCTGTGGGCAAGGCCTTGGACTAGATAACCCATGGGGTTCCTTCCAACTCTGATTCTATGGAAAACTGATTTAATAGTTGATTTGGTATCTTCCTCTCCAAAGAGGGCAGCCTCATAGCCCCAACCAGCACCCTGGTCTGAGCACAGTTCCTACTATTCTTCACTTAATATGCAAGAGTAGAATTCCAACCATGGGCGTGGCCAGGATTTATTGGAGGGGGCTGGCTTTATGTTGGGGTGGGTCAGTTGGTTAGGTTACAATTATTATTTTTTACTTTATGGGGGCCAGCTGCACCCCCCTGGCTACACCCATGCTTCCCACTGGGCAGTGGCGTAGCGTGGGTTGTCAGCACCCAGGGCAAGGCAAGTAATTTGCGCCCCCTAACCCATGGATTTTAGCACTCGGGCAGAGAGCTGCGAGTGCGAGCACGCCCCCCCAGATGTTGCGCCCGGTGCGGCCGGCCCCCCCTGCACCCCCCACGCTACGCCACTGCCACTGGGTAAATGTGAGAAAAGCATCTCTCCCCACAAAAGAACATATACAGCCTGGCTTGATTTGGCAGAGTAGGAAAGATGCTGGTGGCAGGCAGTTGTGAAAGCAGGGGCTGTAGCTTGCACCATGAGAGAGGGATGAAAGCAAATGAGCCACACCAACTCTTGCTTTTTCCTTCTCCCCACCAAGTGGATCCCCTCCCCTCCAATCTCCACTAAACAGCCCTTAAACCTTTTGGACTTTTAACAAGCCTGGTCTAATATCCTACACTGGGTAGGGCAGGACGCCACTTAGGCATGGCGTGAATGAAAAAGTCCTCCAACCAAACTTTAGTAAGCCAACAAGTTAATCGGTTTTTGATTTACAAATAATTTCGAGATGGCAAATAAAAATAAGCGAGAGAAGTGGGTCCAGCTACGCCTATTTTGGCCAGTTTCCATCGCCAAAGCCGGTACTTTCCAGTTTGCACATCAGCTCACAATGTTGTGTGTCCTGGGTGACCTCCCATCCGAATAGCTTACAGGGCCAGACCTTCCCTAATACAACCACATCATGCATCTTTAAACTATTTTCTTTGCGGTGGAATGAGTAGTAAGGTGTGTCCTTGAGGTGTGTTTTGTTCCAGTCCTTTCACTGCCATCTGTGTGGCGGTTCAGTCCTGAACTTACATTTCTGTTTGGCACACTATGAGGGTTGTAGGCTGAGGCTCAGTTGCTTTTCTCAGCCGAAGCAGCTGGAGCCTCTAAAATGTGTGTGAGAAGGCTGGCATAAAACTAAGTATAGCCTTGGCTAGGAATTAGATATTCACTCACCGCCGCACTGGTGGCAGCCAAAGCACTTCTACGTCTTCAAAAATGGAGAGGCAGCAACAGCTGCACTCTGCAAGGTTTGCAGAACAATCCGTGGCCTGGCTATAAAAGTTTAGGTAATGCGGATGTTTTCATGCATCTCCTGGCATGGGTTAAACACAACGTAAATGTGTTTTAATCCTGGAAGGATCGCCTACTGAACCTGTAAACTTTGCAGAAATGGGTTAAAAATCCTTATATTTCTTATTAACCTTTTCCCAAACACCGCAGCAAGAAAATAGAAAGTTGGCATGTAAAAATGGTTGGGTCTTACTTTACTGGCGTTATTAAGAAAAGGTACGCAAGCACCACCTTTGCTTGGCTACATGTGAAGGTGCAAACCTTGTATACTAGGAATTTAGAAAACTGGAATGTCCCTTAAGAGTGGGCTGGCTTCAGCCTTACACTTGTGGCCTCCCGCAGCCCTCCAGCATGACTATGAAGAGGAATTTGGAAGCTTTGAGTTCTGTCTTTATTAACCACAGGCAAACCATGGTTAATCTTAACTATGGTTAGTTGGAACAAAAATATAAAAAGAGCCCTGATGGATCACACCAAATGCCCACTTCATCTAGCATCCTTCTTGCAGTGATGCCTTGCTAGATGCCTATGGGAAGCCCCAAACTCCCCCCCCCCCCACTTAAGATTTTCTACAACCGGTTACCATGGGCATGCTGCCTCTAGCAAATGAAGGGGGGCAGTTGGGTGCCATTTTTTGTTTTGCCTTGTGCAGCATGATGTATTGGGCTGGCCCTGGATTCTGGATTAAAAAAAACTACAAACTTTTGTGCTGCAAATGGGTCAGTGCATATGCACCCTGTGTTGCATGGCTGGGGGGGGGGTGTCCCTTCACCAGGCCGCCTTCCTGCACACATTGTGCCAGGTTTAATTAAACTCAGTTGCTTACTGTGGATTAGTGCACTTTAACCCCATTAAAATTAAAAGACGCCTGCTTCTTGGGAGAAAAGCAATGACAAACCTAGACAGCATCTTAAAAAGCAGAAACATCACCTTGCTGACAAAGGTCTGTATAGTTAAAGCTATGGTTTCCCCAGTAGTGATGTATGGAAGTGACAGCTGGACTATAAAGAAGGCTGATCTCCAAAGAATTGATGCTTTTGAATTATGGTGCTGGAGGAGACTCTTGAGAGTCCCATGGACTGCAGGAAGATCAAACCTATCCATTCTTAAGGAAATCAGCCCTGAGTGCTCACTGGAAGGACAGATCTTGAAGCTGAGGTTCCAATACTTTGGCCACCTCATGAGAAGAGAAGACTCCCTGGAAAAGACCCTGATGTTGGGAAAGATGGAGGGCACAAGGAGAAGAGGGCAACAGAGGATGAGATGGTTGCACAGTGTTCTCGAAGCTACCAGCATGAGTTTGACCAAACTGCGGGAGGCAGTGGAAGACAGGAGTGCCTGGTGTGCTCTGGTCCATGGGGTCACGAAGAGTCGGACACGACTAAATGACTAAACAACAACAACAACCACCCCATTTTTGAGCTGCTCTAAACTCCGAGAAAGCCATTCTTAACCGCAAGTCAAAATTTCAGCGTGTAACATGCTGATCAGCTCCTGTGTTCCAACACCTTTACATTGTATGATTCTATAACTCAAAAGAGTAAATTTCTGGTATAAGCTAAGTTGAAATGGAAGAGAGGGAGAAGGATGCATACACCAGCTTGAGCTCCTTGGAGGAAAAAAAGTGGGATATAAATAATAAATTAATAAATTAAATTCAACATAAGGAAGTAGTTCCCAAATAGTAGTGCTGGCAGAGTGAGAGTGACAGTAGGGAAAGTATCCTTGATGATTGCAGGCTTTCTGTAGCAGTGTACAACAAATAACAGCCATGGGGAAAAGGAAGTGCACCGTCCTTGAATTCTGTGGTTTTACATATGAAGACACAATAACAATATCTGTTCCTTAGTAGGTCTTAAGATTAGATAAATACAATCTCAGCTGAACAACAACACATGACATATTACACTGTGTCATGATTTATTCAACAGAAATAAAGCTGAAATGGGAAAAGCCATGTGTGAAAAACTAATTACACCTTATGATTCAATAGCTTGTAGAACCACATGAAGTACCGGTAATTGTTTTCTGTAGGACTTTATCTGTCTCACGTTGTTGTGGAGGAATTTTGGCCCATTCTTCTTTGCAATGTTGCTTCAGTTCATTGAGGTTTGCTGGCGTTGGTTTATGCACAGCTCTCTTAAGGTCCTGCACAGCATTTCAATTGGGTTGTGGTCTGGATTTTGACTGGGCCATTGCAACACCTTGATTAGGTTCTTTATCAGTCATTATGTTGTAGATTTGCTGGTGCACTTGGGATCCTTTTCCTGTTGCATGTCCCAATTTCAGCCAAGCTTCAGCTGCTGGGCAAATGGCCACACATTTGACTGTAGAATACTTCGGTATACTGAGGATTTCATGGTCGACTCAATGACTGCAAAGTTCCCAGGTCCTGTGGCTGCAAAACAAGCCCAAATCATCACTCCTCCACCACTGTGCTTGACAGTTGGTATGAGGTGCTTGTGCTGATATGCTGTTTGGTTTATGCTAAACGTGGCACTGTGCATTATGGGCAAACATCTCCACTTGGGTCTCATCTGTCCAAAGGACATGGTTCCAGAAGCATTGTGGTTTGTTCAGATGACACTTTGCAAACCAAAGCCATGCTGCTATGTTCTTTTTAGAGAGACCAGGCTTTCTCCTGAACACCCTTCCAAACAAACCATACTTGTTCAGTCTTTTTCTAATTGTACTGTCATGAACTTTAACATTTGACATGCTGACCAAGACCTGTAGAGCCTGAGATGTAACTCTTGGTGAGTTTGTGTGTGTGTGTGTGTGTGTGTGTGTGTGTGTTGCAATTTCTCTGAGCATTGCACAGTCTGACCTTGGGGTGAATTTGCTGGGGTGTCCACTCCTGAGAAGATTGGCAACTGTCTTGAGTGTTTTCCACTTTTGAATAACCTTTCTCACTGTAGAATGGTGGACTTAAAACTGGTTGGAGATGGCCTTAGAACCCTTTCCAGTTTCATTGGCAGCAGCACTTGCTTCTCTAAGACCATTGTGTCATCTTTCCTCCTTGGCACACCTGAATGCTCCAGACCAGCAAAATATTATAGAGGCAGGCACACTTGCTGATGATCAATTAAGCAAGGGCATTTGATTAGCAGCTCCTTCCTGCTACTTAGCCTCCTATTTCCTATGGAATCAGTAAGGGTCTACTTAGTTTTTCACACATGATTTCTCCATCTTGGCTTTATTTCTGTTAAATAAATCATGACGCTGTATAATATGTCATGTGTTGTTGTTCATCTGAGGTTGTATTTTTAAGACCTGCTAAGGAACAGATGATTGCTATTGTGTCCTGATATGTAAAACCACAGAATTCAAAGAGGATGCACTTTCTTTTCCCCTATGACTGTCTATCTATCTATCTATCTATCTATCTATCTATCTATCTATCTATCTATCATGGAGATGTATATTCAGTACACAACAATTTAAAAGCAAGTATTGGAAAGATAAAGCACAAATCCAGTATAGGTTATTAAATGGATGAGTTTTCAACAGCTGCCTAAAAAGCATGGATGCTGGTTCATTGTCTAATTTCAATTGGAAACTAAATTAGTATATTTAATTATTGCATTTGCAGCCCACCTTTTCTCGAAAGAGCTCAAGGTGGTGTAAACGGTTCTCCCCACTCCTCATGCAAGCCATAGAGAGGAACTGCTCTCAATTTTGGGGAGACCCATTGCTCAGTTTTTACCCTCAATCAAATTTCCTGCACCCACACCCTAAATGCACTGGCTTTGCCTTTGCTTTCTTGATACTCTTATTGACATATTTAAAATGACAGTAAACTGCAGTAAACCTGCCTTCCTGTCCATTTGGCTGGGTAGGGGTCCCCATTCTGATGCAATCTACCGCCTCCATGGCCAATGGACATAGCTTCCCATGAAACGTAGCTAACCTTTCACAGAACTACAGTTCCTGGCGCCCTTAACAAACTACAGTTCCCATGAGTCTTTGGTGGGGGAGTCAAATGCCTTAAATGTACAGCATGCCTTCCACCTGCCAGGGGTCTGATTTCCTTCTGCTTCTTCCTCCCACTGAATCCAAAGCTGCCACAAACTTTAGAGCTTCTTGCCATACATTCAGGAAGATTTTGCTAAAATATTTCTTGTTTTCTCAAGTTTACATCTCCGCAGCTTTCACGGTTGCTATGAGGCAGCCTGCCTGAGAGATGAAAATAAATCTGTGTCATTTCATTTATTTCTCTCTCTCTCCCCACCCCTTATGTGTGAAGTTCATTTCCGCTTATTTCTCCCGTACATACACACATATGCACAATTATGCAGGCTTAGTAAAATACTTACACTCTTTGTCTAATGCTCTCTCTGTGAAAGGATGCATATGCACAGACCTCGCTGTTCTCGAAATACCATATGCTTGGGTCTGTCAGCTTAAAATACCCCAGCAAAGAGATGCTTTAATGCAGCCAATAAACTTCCCCTCTACCTCCACCCATCTCCCAAGGTTAATTAATCTCTTTTCAAATCCCTATCAGCAGAGAAAGTGGTCCCTTTGGCATCAGTCAACTGGAAGAACCTGCGTAAGGTGATGAAACAGTCAACGGGAGATTTAAAAGACTCGAGGAATCTGTACAACTTCTGATTTTTTCTAGTTTAGTCCATTTCTGTCCTACCTTTCAGCAGCTCAAGGTAGATTGCATAGTTCTCCCCTCCTGGTTTCACAACGACCATGTAAGGTAGGTTAGGATTGCCAGCCATCATGTGGGATCCTTGCTATTTCAGTTGCTGCTGTTCGCCTCTTTTCTGTTCAAAACCTCCTTTCGGCCATGCATGAAGATTTGGCAACAGGGAACAAAGCTTGCAACATGTACCAGGATGATTCAAATAATGATTCAGAATACCAGTTGCTGGAAACCAGAGGACGGGGAGAGCTCTCTTGTGCTTGGGGTCCTGCTTGTGGGATTTCCACAGGCATCTAGATTACTACTGTGAAAACAGGATCCTGGACTAGATGGGCCCCTGCTGATCTTCATATGCTGTCCAGGATGAGGGTGTGACTGGCCCAGGTTCACTCCAACTTCAGGCTCCACACTGAAGAAGGTATCCTCAGCATGGTAAGGTAATAGTGGGCATCGAAGAACATAATAAAAGCCTTGTGGCTCAGGACAGTGGCACATCTAGTCTAGCATCCTGTTCTCACAATGGCCACCCAGATGCCTGTGGGAAACCTGCAAACAGGACCTGAACACAAGAGAATGCTCCCCTCTTGTGGATCCTAGCAATTGGTATTCAGAAGAAGATCATCTAGTTCAACTGCCTGCAATGCAGGAATATACAGCTGTCCCATACGGGGATTGAACTTGCATCCTTGGCATTCTCAGCACCATGCTCTAACCAACTGTGCTATCCAGGTAATGACTGACTGGGAGAAGTGCTTTCCAACATTCATCACCCGCATCGTACAGCCCGGACACTGAGATCCAGCACCGAGGTTCCCACACTGCGAGAAGTGAAGCTTCAGGGAACCAGGCAAAGGGCCTTCTCAGAGGTGGCACCAAGCCTGTGGAGTGCTGTCCCATCAGATGTTAAGGAGATGAGTAATTATATAACATTCAGGAAACATCTGAAGACAGCCCTGTATGGGGAACCTTTTAAGGTTCAATGTTTTGCTGTGTTTTTATATATGCTGGAAGTCACCCAGAGTAGCTGGGACAACCCAGCCAGATGGGTGGGCTACAAACAAATAATGATGATTATCATCAACATCGGATGTCCACGAATTGTAGTGTTATGGGAGGAGAAAAAAAAATTCTCAATCCACTTTCTCCACCCCACGCATAATTTTATAAACTTTTATCACATCTCTTCATCACCTTTTCTCTAAACTAAGAAGTCCCCATCATTGTAACCTTTCTCCACAGGAGAGTCTCTCCACTGCCTTGGATCATTTTGCTTGCCTTTTTCAACTCTACAATATCATTTTTTTTGAGGTGAGGCAACCAGAATATATTGTACACAGTATATTCCAAAAGTTTAGCCATGTACACAGCGGGGTTAGAAAGTTTGCCACATAACTTCCAGACCGACGTGGGGCCCATGAATTCATCCTGCGTGCATCCTCTCAGTCTCTCCGTCTCTCTCCCCAGCCTGGAGAGGAGAAACGCCTCCTCCGCCAGAGAAACATTAACATTTTCAGTTAATAGGAACTAGCCGTACCGCGACGGAGTCTGAATCCAGCTTTGCTTACTTATTAATGAAGCCGCAAAGTGCCTACACTTTAGACTTCACTTAGCTGAGGGGAGCCTTCGAGCACCAATTTGACTTCTATTAAATGACTAATGGCTATTGAGACATAATGTCCTCGCAGCAGATATCACATCCTATTTAGTATTTAATGTTTAAATATTTAATTAATTAAACACTGCCAAATATTTAATTAAATGCCATTGGAGCCATCCCGGCTCTTCCAGCACACATTATGCAAAAAAAAATGGGGGGGGGAATGTGAGGTAGGGACAGAAAGAGAGGGAAAAAAGGGGGACATACATTACTTTCTCCCCTCCCTATACCTTCAGCCCTAACAACGGATTCTTCTTCTTTTCTGGCCAGGTGGGCAGCTGAAATTGTGGTGGCGGCAATAAAATCTGTGGGGAAAGGCGACCCAGCCACAATTATGCTGCGCAGCTAGCGCAGGATGCTGCAGCACGATTGCTGACAGGAGGGAGGCCTCATCAGCATATGACACCCATGCTCAGAGATCAGCACTGCCTGCCAGTTCGCTACCGGGCCAAGTTCAAGGTGTTGCTACAGGCGGCGACCATTCCACGTGGGGGGTTCCATTCCCGGCTCCTGCACATGTCAGCGGAACGTTCCCACCACCTGCCCCATTACGCCCCCCATCCTTCCCTCTTCCGGGTCCAAAAGGACCCACACGTCAGCGATTGTGCATCATTTGGACGTGCCTTAAATGGTTGCCACCTGTATTATAGTATATAAATCCTTTAACGTCTTGGAATTTTTACCTACAAGACCCACTCAGCCACTTGGACCTGCAGAACTGGCACAGAATGAAAAGCAACATTGTGAAATGTTGGATTAGCGGTGGGGAGACCAAGGTTCACACACCACACATTTAAAGCACAGTTAAACCAACCCTGTCTCAGAGAGGCCTGGAAACTGCAGTTTACCCCACATGGAACTATGATACTCAGCACCCTTAACAAACGACAGTTCCCAGGATTTTCAGTGAGTATGTGTCTTCTAAATGCACCCCAATCTCCAAGTGGCAAGAGACTCCAGGGGTCCTAGGTGCTTATCCAGGTTCAATTTCCTTGGAATGAAGGTCAGTGGAGACTGTGGTGTCTTGAGGATATATTTTTTATTTACACATATGAAGTCAGTTTTCATTCCAGAGAGACCTGAGGTATGCTTGAAGCTTCTCAAAGGTACCAGGAACTGCTAGATCTCTGCACACCTGCGCCATGTGGTGAGCCACTGAACTGCAGTTGGTAACTTCTCCCTTCCTGTTCCCTTTGAGCCCCTTTGGACGAATCTGGTTTTACTGAGCTCTGAATTTGGTCTTTAGTCCATACTCCTGAATTATGCTCCAGTTCTGACTTACCTACTCTTTGGCCCTGATTGAAGGCTGGACTTGTGTCATTTCAATTTGTTGTCTACAAACCAGCCCAGCTCTGAAAGAATGTGCACAATTGGCAAGAAAGCTAAACACAGCCACTCAGTGGCGTAGCGTGGGTTGTCAGCACCCGGGGCAAGGCAAGTAATTTGCGCCCCCTAACCCATGGATTTTAGTAGGGGCAGAGAGCTGCGAGTGCGAGCGCGCCCCCCCAGATGTTGCGCCCGGTGCGGCCGGCCCCCCCTGCACCCCCCACGCTACGCCACTGCAGCCACTTTTGACTTTTCACATATAAGGGGACTGGTTAATAGGAAGCTGGAAGGCAAAGTGGAGAGGGTCCAGAACAGGAAGCAGAGAGTAAGAATAAGGGGACAGTTTTCACACAGGAGGGATGTAAGAAGTGGCTCCTATAAGAATTGTTATTGAGACCTGTACTTTTAGACTTGCTCATGAGTTACCCAGAGTTCAGAGTGGGCAGTGAGGTGGCCAGTTTTACTGATGACACCCAACTCTTCCGAATGGTTAAAACCAGTGCTATTTTCTAGAAAAAGAAGTGCTAGAACTCACCATGAATGCCTCCCTTATTCTCTTAGAATGGCAATGGTGTCCACCTAAGAGATGCCAGAACTGAGTTCTGTCTGAAAAAAAGCCCTGGTTAAAACAAAAGGTTGTGAGGATGATTATCAAGGATTTGGAAGCCAAACCTTATAAAGAATGGTTGAGGGAGTTGCATATGTTCAGACTGGAGAAGAAAAGACCAAGAGGTGACATGATAGCCATCTTCTTCTTTTTTTTTTTAATCATTTTTTATTAGTTTTCAATATAATCATACAATTTTATCCAAATTTTACCTAATTTTAACAAGATACAAATTTTGGACTTCCTTCAACTTCTCTGGTAATCATCCATTTTTACCCTTCAGTACGCATTCCTTTATTTGCATTGCCATTTGTCTTCCCTTCCTTTTCTATTTACTTACAGCAATACCTCTTAAAATTTTACAGTGCTTCTTGAAACCCCACTAGCGTTACTTGCACCTCACATATATCTTTCAGATAGTCTGCAAATTTTCCCCAATCCTCAATGAACTTTTGATTTCGGGCATATCTTATTTTCCCGGTCAGTTTGTCCAGTTCCGCATAGTCAGTCAATTTCATTCTCCATTCTTGAATCGTCGGTATTTCCTCTTGTTTCCATTTCTGAGCCAATAGAATTCTTGCTGCCGTAACTGCATACTGGAAAAGTTTGTAGTCTTTTCTTCTTATATCTTTTCCTGTAATCCCTAGAAGAAAGGCTTCTGGTTTCTTCACAAAAGTGTATTTTAACATTTTTTTCAATTCATTATATATTGCTTCCCAGAAACTCTTTACTTTCTTACATTCCCACCACATGTGGTAGAAAGTTCCCTCTTTTTCTTTACATTTCCAACACTTATTGCATGTTTTATACATTTTGCCAATTTTACCGGAGTGATATACCATCTGTAAAACATTTTCATTACATTGTCCTTCAACCCCATGCATGCAGTAAATTTTAAACTTTCCTTCCATAATTTTTCCCAATCTTCAAATTGAATGTTATGTCCAAAGTCTTTGGCCCACTGTATCATTACCGATTTAACCTCTTCCGTCTTTCGTAAACCATTCTAGCAATATCTTATACATTTTTGACAGAGTTTTATATTCATTATTTATTATCTCTGTTTGGAACTTTGAGTCTTTTTCTGCATATCCACTTTCCTTTAAATCTTTTTAAAACATTTCATTTACCTGAAATTTACATGATAGCCATCTTCAAATATCTGAAAGGCTATATTTGAGCATTCAGTAAAGAGCCAGTGTGGTGTAGTGGTTAAGAGCAGTGGACTCGTAATCTGGTGAACAGGGTTCGATTCCCCATTTCTCCACAATCAGCTGCTGGGTGACCTTGGGCTAGTCACACTTCTCTAAAGTCTCTCAGCCTCACTCACCTCACAGAGTGTTTTTTGTGGGGGATGAAGGGAAAAGGAGATTGTTAGCCACTTTGAGACTCCTTCGGGTAGTGATAAAGCGGGATATCAAATCCAAACTCTTCTTCTTCTCTTCAATGAACCTGAATGTTGGAAGGTTCAGGACAGACAAAAAAAGTGGTTCTTCATACAGCATGCAAGTTAACAATGGAATTCACTCCCACAGGTGGCAGCAACGGCACCAACTTGAATGACTTTAAACAGGGTTTTTACAAATTCCTGGAAGATACAAGCTACTAGCTATCATGCTATGCTCTGCCTCCAGTGTCCAAAGCTGGATATATTTGAATATGAGTTTCTGGGAATTGCAGGGGGGCAGAGCGCGGTTGCAATCATGTGCTGCTTGGGGCTTCCCACAGGCATCTGGTTGACCATGGTGAGAACAGGATTCTGGATTAGACGGGCCTTTGATCTGGGCTTCTTTTTTTGTAGGTGTGGAGATCGGTAGTAAGAAACAAACTTCCCTGGACTTCCGGGACAGCACCATCGGCAATGGCGGAGTTCCTCTGACAGAGAGGAACCCGCTCCCTGAAAATCGGGTCTTGCCGCCGTGGCGAAGGCGGAGACCCTTTAAAAATCCCAGGTGGAGGAAGCCTGGGAACGTGGGATTTGGCTGACACCAGGAGTGCCTCCCCTACTCGCAGGGAACCCCTTTTGCGGGGGTCCGAAGTGACGTGGGGTGAGCGGCGCGGTGTTTTGAATCAACCGCTACTTTTACGGAGTGAAGCCGCACAGCCGTTGCCGGAGAGCACTGACTTTTTCCTGCGGACAATTGGACTCTA